TCTTGGTGAGTACTAATTAGTGATTTTACATTGAAGGGAGCTTCAATTAAGGAGATACAAGTGTTCCACTATGTTCGCAAGAAGAAGAAGACAAGCAAAAGAGCATGAGTCAGGATAAGTATAAAATATCAATTTTACTCTAAAAATTACATTTTTACGTTTCTACAAATATGGGCATATGGGATAAAACTGTTAACCTTCATGGAAAAGATATTCAACAAGGTGAAAAACTTTCCATTTGCGGAGCTTTCCTTTGTTAACATTGGTTATATGGCTCCGCATGCTGTTATCGATGCCCCATCGATCTGGCGATAGCGTCACTTTGATGGGTAACTATGGACTGTCATAAACCTCCCTGTCACACTGTAATTACTTACAAAATAAATGTACAAAACAATGTGAAAAGCGCACCAGAAGACTTGCATTAAGCCACTTTGTCCTAAAAACAGAATTAGCGCTTTTGTTTTACAAACAAGAGAAAAGTTGGGTCACATGAAATGCAAATTAGCCTATGGCAGTAATGTCATGCTAAGTCATCACGCTGAGTGTGAGACAGGGCTTGTGTGACATTATTGTGGGGAACGATGCCACTTATTTCATACAGGTTTTGTGTTGATGATTAAAGGAGTATTGTGTGAAGTTGCTACGGTCGACTTGTGAGAAATGTCTTCATGTTTTATTCAAATGTGACTTTTCTATCTGTTGCCAGGAATCTGAACGTAAACAGGAGGAGGAAAGAATCCGAACAGAGAACATTCTCCGTGGAAATCCCCTCATTAATAAAGATGGAGAAAAACCTGTAGCAGATTTTAAAGTAAAAAGAAGGTATGGTTAATCCTACACTTCAGCATAGCTGCAGGATTTGTGATGGAACCGAATACTTTTAGACCTCTGCTTTCTTTAAAAGAAGCATTGAAACTTGTTATTTCGTTGCATTTTCTTAGTGCATATTTAATCCTGAACCTCCTGTCTTCTTTAAAAGCAATCATTTTGAGAACGGTCATGGATGATATTTTGAAATGTAAACTGTGACCTGGCCCACCATAGCAGCAGCCCTAAGGCAGGTAACCCTACAGTGTGTGAACGTATCTGAACGCTGCCTATGTTACAGGTGGGATGATGACGTGGTCTTCAAGAACTGTGCCAAAGGGGAAGAGGAACGCAAGACGAGGGGCTTTGTCAATGACACACTCAGATCAGAGTTTCATAAAAAGTTTATGGAGAAATATGTGAAATAACAGACTGTGTTACAAACTTGGATAAAGACTTGTGTTGCAACACTTTACATGGCTGATGAAACAAGAAATGTCGCTCATCTCGGTATTGCTGTTGTGAAATGTGGTTACGATGTTAGTTGTCTGCAGACAAAGCAACCTGTTGGTACTGTTTTCCTGATGAGGGTGATGAGTGGACAAAAGGAAATTCAAACCAGATCCCTGGCAAATCAAAACCCGTGTTTGTGGTGTTTGCAAACAGCCATGTTTCCCTGTCCAGGGGAGATAATCCGTACCTTGTCATTTCTATCCGAAGGTTACTGTAAACATGTCGCCACCAGCGGAGGGGAGTGGCTGGGTGTCTTGAGTATCGTCTTCTCAATATTTTCATTTCATCTCTTAGAGGACGATGGTATTGGGGGCAGTGGTGTAGTCTGGTAGTTGAGGCGTTTGCTCGTCATGCCTTTGAGCCAGGTTTGAGTCCCCACATGGGTACAATGTGTGAAGACCATTTCTGGTGTTCCCCGCCGTGACATTGCTGGAATATTTTGCATAAAGCAGCATAAAACTAAACTCACTCACTCACTCACAGTGATATTGACATGTGTACTCAGTTACGCATCAGAATTTGTTTCACTCTCTGACTGATAGGATCGAAAATGTCTATACAGATATGTTTTTCATACCTCTGTTTTCACCATGTCACATAACTATCAAAGAATCATCAATGAAAATGTCATATTGTTTTTAGGGTAGTATATGTACATTTACTTACACATATTACAATGCTATTAATGTACTAGTGTCTGTGGAAGGTCTGAACTTGAGCGCGAGTACATGCTGTTGATGAATATTTAGTTTACTGTGTCTTCAATGTCGCTAGGATCATCTGTGTCAAATAAATAAAGTAAAAACTTTCGGTGTAAGAGTTGTTTGTTGGTTAAAATATGATTTGAACGAATGATAATTACTACATACAGTTCAAGTGAAGTGGGGTTTAACTTTGCATTCAACATTGTTGCACTAACAGGTGAGTGAGTGAGAGAGAGTAATGGTCAAGATTGTTGCACTGAGAGGTTCTACTGCACTAAGTCAGAATCACTTGCTCGCTGAGCCAGTTAGGTGTGTAAACATTTGGCCAGATGAGACATGTGAAATTTGTGATTGGATAAAATAAATAACGTTGCTATAGAAGTCTATGCGAAAACATTTGGTTTTGTGTAACCTAGAGCGACATGACTCCATGTGTGTGTGCAACATTCAAGATTGGTTCATTTATGAGGTGACATGCATACATGTGTACGTGTGAGGTTTGTGTGACTGGTTTTGTAGAGTCAGCCAACAGATACCCTGTTGCAGCATTACAGCAATATTCTGCGCAGACACAGTACACTGACTCTGAGCCAACCAGTTTGTGAAATAACCACAGGCCTAGTTAAAAGTCAGTTGGGCCAATAAATTTCTAGTCACTATGGGGTCATTTTGTAAATATATCACTCATTCCGACTTGTTAAGTTATAATACACTTTTAAATCATGTACGATTATGGCCTGATAAAAAAATATTCATAATATTACCAGCTTAATGATAAAACCCATGTCTACATTCAAATTGCGGGCGAGTGAATTATTTTGTGGGCTAACTTTCAAGCATAACTAGCCCGACTGGCCAGCAAAATTTGGAAACTATTTCTCACACTGGCGCCAACCAGTACTTGTTTTGGTACCACGAGCTCCAGGCAAGATACAGAGTACCATCCGCTCACATTATTGGTTTGACAAGTGGGGGACCGAACCGGAGACCTTCCACTCTGTGATGAGAAACTCTCTACTCCAGATCACAGAGGCAGGGGAAGCAAGTACAGACCTGCGGTCCTCCAGGCCCCAGACTCCATGTTGCTCAGGTTGAGGTCTTGTGGGATTGTTTAAAGCAAGCTGATACCTGTTCTTTGTACTCCCATGATAACGTTTTATCCAGCCATTAAAAATATGAAACATTTATACTTCTGTTCATATCTTTGTCAGAAATATGTATTGATAATCACAGACATACTACTTAATAAGTGATGCAGAACAGATTCGCCAATACTGAGCTGGAACAGTTCTGTCTGCACATGATGACATCAGACTAGAAGTGCATTTAGCTTCTCGCACGCAGCCTTATTGCAAACCCTTTTCACACGTTTATGGAGAAATTACTCATATCTTAATTGTTTTAGAGATATCTGAAATTGAATTAAAGATATCTCAAATAGAGATAGTTTACATATGTGCATTAACATTCATAATATCACGAAATGTATTAAGAATATGATGGAGGATATTAACGTTATCTTGGAAAGAATTGATGATATCGTAAATTTGATATGTTGTGCTTTGTTTTTAACGTGATGACTTTGGCATAATGTGCACAGAGATATTTTCAAGTGTAATCCTAAATACAACGTTACATTTGACCACTTTCTCTGCTTCTCTATGTGTATTTCCGTGTTCTACGGGTGCCCTCCCTCGGATAGCCCATGACGCCGAAGAAATAGGTTCGACGACCAAATGGGTAGAAAGTAACGTCCATTTTTGGCTGTTCTGGTGACAGGTAGGACCTTGGTATGGGATGCTGACAAAGAAAGGTGGTGGGACAGGTTAGGGCATGGGGACAGGATCTTTTTGCTGGGTATGAGGGGTCTTCTCCGCCAAATGTTACAGGTATCCCTTGAAGGCAATGAATTTATGGTTGACATGATGGCCTATTTGGCTGAGGCTGTCAACTGCAGACAGCTATGGCTCGTCGGGTGAAGGTGGCAATGATAGCTTGTTTGATTTAACAGGTAGTGAATGTACTGGTCCGTGTGGGTGGGTTTGCGGTAGACGGTGGTGTGGATGTGTGGATGAGTTGGATATCGAGGAAAGCTTAATGGTTTTTTTCTGTTTCCATGGTGAATTTGATTCTATGGCGTTGTATGTCGAAATGGTCCAATAACGCTTCGGGATCCTGGTCTTTGTCAAGGATGGTGAAGGTGTCATCTTCCTTTCTGTACCAGTACAGGGGTTAGAAGGGTGAAGATGCTGTAATCATTGGCTGCATCTTACATTGTTATCTTTGTTATATTAATTCTACGTATTAAAATCTTAACTGTTACATAGTTTACTCTGACTAAAACAAAAACAAAACTGAAACTTTCTTCAGTTGAATTTACTTTCAATCTGAGATGAATACATGAAAAAGTGAATATCGGCAATACCGGAAAGTCTGGTCTCAATGACCAATCAGATTGTCACTTGTATGTGTAGCAGCCATAAAATGCTGGGATTCGAACCATGGACCTACCAGCAGGCACATCAACGTTGAAGTTTGAAATATTATTAACGTTGAAAATGGGTTGTTCTGTGGTTGTATATGAAAGTTTTTTAGACGCAGATATCCGACGTGGAATCAACGCTGAAGTTTGACATATTATTAACGTTGAAAATGTGTTGTTCTGTGGTTGTGTCTGGGAGGTATTACGCTTTCCTGTAAATAGGCTAGCACTTCAAACTACACTAAAGTAGCACCAAACTCATGCATCCAGCTAAAATACCCCAAAAGCTACCTGCAATAAACAGTGTCAAACAGAAATTGCAGTAAAAATATTTACCTGATAAAATACTTGGTTAAAATTCCACATTCAATATAATGTTCATTTAAGTTTTATGTCAGTTGGACGGATATAATTCAGTAAGAAGAAAAGAGTATTCCAAATTAAGAAAACTATTTACTGTTGTATTGTTATCTTGAAAAGGTGGAAATTGTCCCGAGAAGACATTTTGTCTGAATTTCAGCTATAAGACAGACCCCTGAATAAACAGAATGCAATTACTTTCACCATGAAAGGGATCCAAGATGACCAGGAACTATACCTGAAGACAACACATGAAACAAGTCACTTTTCATGAAACCTTTATGAACACACACACACACACAGAGAAACGTGGTTTAATGCATAATGTAAAACATCACACATGACATAGTCTGTAGGTGATCTCTGTTGTGCTAATAACACAATATCATCTGCATATACCATTAAACTGACAATTACGCCACCAATTTCAATACAACAGTTCAGATTTTTCAACACAATTACAACTCCAAAAACACAATTATCAGCTCCTCTTCTTTTTGCCACTCCCTGCCTGGCGGTCAGGTGGATACTTCAGAAGCGTTCCTAACTCTTTCTTGAAATTTGCTTGGATGCATTCCATCTCATTTCCATGGGATGGGACACATTCTGAAATTTTATATTTAAAAACATGAATAATTTATATGGAAGATATATTGTCTTAAATGATTCAAGTATTTGTTTAATCAATCACTTGAAAGGTTCATTTCACTGCTGTAACTTGGCATGTGAACACATGAACAGCATGAATACAAAATATGACGAAAAGTGTAAACAATTTATATTTTCAACTAAAGGAATGGAAGTTTTCTTAAACATTTTCAAAGAAAATCCTCAGTTGCAAGTTGATTATTCATTTAGACTATGAATTAGGATGAATTAGACGATGCTTTACTGTCATATATTATTTGCTATGGTCATGATGAAAGTGCTGCATTTGGTAATTAATTTACCAGAGATGATTGAATACAACCTTGTATTCTTAAAAAGAAAACTTGCCGTTTTGCCCATCAACATTCATTCTTGACATCAAATTGTTTGACATTGTCCTGCAAAACAATGGAAGATTGTTGTTATTGTGTCAGATTTAGTTTTCTTTAGAGATTCTAGGAAGCGATTATTTCACATTAAATAGGAGTTGTACTGATGTAGCAATTTTGCTAACAGGAGTCATACATTGTAACAAAAGCCATTTTACATTAAATAATAAGAAAACAAAATGGGTGGTGGTTCACAGGTCAAAGAACAAGTCTACTGTGGGAGGTCTTCCAACACCATTTGTTCCCAAACACAAGGAAGTATGGATTATGGAGTTCTGAAAACAATAATGAGCTCTCATAAGTATACAATATATCCTATTATCTACTCTTTTCTCTCTCTTTGTCATTTCACACTCATAAAACATAAATAACTTCTTTATAATTCAGAAATGTTTACACTTAATCTCTTATAGGAACGCTTAGAAAATCTCTCATATAATGAATTATGTGTGCCTATAATATCATAACTATGCTTCTCTGAATCATGAACAATAAAATAATGAGATAAACCTCTACACTGCCAGAAATAATCTATCATATCCTGAATAATTAGACATTGAATAACATCTCTTACAACTTCAATCTACACTCAAAGAGACTTAAATGTACTCGTAAACAAACATCGCTGGCACACGCAAATTCTTGGAAACATTGTATCTCTGACTCTCAATTCCAAGAAATGAAAGTCCTACTTTATTTGACCAAAGGGGTGACAGGTGGCCAAAACATATTGAAATGTAGGTCATACACTGAAAATAACTCTGATATCAAACACTACAAATATACACCTTCTCTCTAATATACTCGATAGATGATCTTGACAAGGGAACATGTACATAAAATGCTGATATCTAACAATACCTGTTCTCTAAATAATGGACTCTTCCAAATCTCAGCATGTTTCACTGCACACATTTAAATGCAAATCACAGGCCCCCACTGCGGGTCAGAAAATCGATAAACTAGGCCCCGGTTTAGAATCAACACCCCCTACTATATGTATTGTATATAATGTATTATATAGTTGGGGGTGTTGATACTAAACCGGGGCCTAGTTTATCGATTTTCTGATCCGCAGTGGGGGCCTGTGATGCAAATAATGAAAAACCTACACTTTGACAATAATAAAGAAACATCATATTCAAATTCTACAGCTGACCAAATACCCGAAGGGTGTGTCTCCCAGCAATAAACATCTATATATCTCTATAAATTTATGACTTCTTTCCTCTCGCGTCCTTTCTCGCATCCAGCTCTTTACGGCGAAAAACAATATGGCGCCAAGCAAGGGAGTGCTCATTAAACTAAACATCTCCGGGAGAAATCATTGTCAAATTATTCTCTTACAAGATCAACCTAAATATATAAATGAAGATAAAGACCAAATATTATCACCAAAAAGACCAAAAAATATCACAAATATTCAAAACAGGTGGTAATGAAGAGCATTATCATCTTTCTCTTAAACTTTGTGGTGGATATACTGGAAACAAGTGAAATGTTAAAAAACTTGTTACCTTAGTATTGTTCCTTTTATATGATCCACAAAATTGCTGCCACCAGTCTTCGAAGATGAGATTTCTGCAAATTCCATTAAAGTTATATCTTATTTCATAATTAAATGTTCCTTACTAAATTACTTCTTTTGTATGTAACATTTTAACCTTTAAGAGACATGAATCATCACATCCCTTCAAACAAGTGTAAGAATGAAAGTCTGTGGGTGCAGTTTGGTAATTGTCCCATCAAAGAATCATTAGTGAAGTTACACATTTTGTAAATAAATAAAAGTTCAAATAAATTATATACAATTTCATCCTTAACAAAGACTTTCACAAGACATTTTGATGTGAATTTTCGTTGCATGATCTGAGAAAGATTTCCTTTCGCCATTCTCCAACCCACCCTCCCCAAATAATATACATATGTTGACAGGGTTCAGAGCGTGCTCAATGCATAATTTACTGATAGATCTATTCAAACGAACAAATGTTCATAATAATGTGATGCAATATAAAATGTTGATAAATTCTATTCGATTTTGAATAGCTGCCCTTAGGGACCGTTCATAATGTATGGCTTGGGGGTGATGATGATTTTTATGGAGAAGCATGTACAATGTGAATTACCCTCCCCCTCTCCCCTTCCCATAATTTCTAAGCATCATATTAAAACATAGTGTGCGTGTACAAAAAATACTGCCCCCTTAGCTCCCTGAACAAAATGGGTGCCCCCCCTTACAATCACCTTACGTTGAAAGAACGTTGACAACTAGACGAATCTCGACTAACTTTCTTTGGTCGCATGATAAACGTGTGAATCAACGTTTATGAAAGGTTGATCAACCAAACAACCAAAATTCAACGTTGATTAAACGTTGAATCAACGTTGTGTGCCCGCTGGGTACTAATCCGAATTTGGACGCCTTGTCCACATGAACAAAGATGTTAACCCCGTCAGCAAGCTGACAAGGTATGGATGTCATCTGTGGGATGATTCCACGTCCTGCTACATATGAACCACCCCAGGTGGCCACAGCAGTACCTGGTATAGTCACCCCTCGCACGGATACCATCTGTCAGTACCTGCGTTATTTCTTTTAGATTCTGAACAGGAGGATCTCTAGTTCGAACCTGGTGTCTAAGATAGTCTCACAGATGTTCGATGGGGTTCATATCGGGGCTTCCTGCTTGCCATAGTAACGTTTCCTGTGAGGAATGGACGTGGATCGGATGATGTTCACTCAGTCCGGCAGCCCGCAGACTCCATCTCTCCCATTTACGGCGCCGTTTGGTCATGGGATTGCGTCTTGTCAGATGAATTAAAAATGATAACAAATTACAGAAGCCACATACACTCTGAATAATTGTGGGGAATATACTAAAATGCGATCCAGCGCTCGGTGTACAGCGCAGATACGATGTGAGTCCTCCAAATTAAGGTTCCGTTTACTGTTTTGTTCTAAACTGGTTTTATACTTTACATACAGTGTGGTCCGGTGGGGTAGCCTAGTGGTTGAAGCGTTCGTTCGTTACGCCATAGACGCGGGTTTGTTTCCCCACATAGGTAAACGATATCTAGCCAATTTTCTGATGTCCCCCGCCTTGATATTGCTGGAATATTGCTAAAACGACGAAACTTTACAATAGCCTGTCATTTTGTTCTCTCCATTGTATGCATTGTATACTGTATTTGTATATTATTTACAAACGTATATTTGTATGTCGGCCGGAGGCCTTAAGACTTGACTTGATTCCCCACATAAGTAAACGATATGAAGCCAATTTTCTGGTGTCCCCCGCCTTGATATTGCTGGGATATTGCTAAAACGGCGTAAACGTAAAACCATACTCACTCACTCACTCACTCACATACGCTAGGTTTCCCTTTACCATGTCCCACAGAAAGCAGAATGTCTCTGTTTAACAATCCTCAGACTAGTTCTACTGTGCTTATCTCTGTGTTTAGCTGTTTAGAGCACCCTACCAGTGTTCTGACACCGTGTGGTGACATGAATGGGTACCTGGGTCCCTGCATAACGATACTGAGGATATCTTGACCAACTGTTTATTGATGGACATTAACTGCCCTGTATCTCATCTGTACGTGCAAACAGGAACACGATAATTAACAATTGTGAAAAGCAGTTCATGAAAATATCCAACCTATTTCATCTTTCCATTGCCAATGTCAAAACCACATATTTTCCCATTGCCGCCTATAGTGATGTTAGATGTCATTGCCGCCTATAGTGATGTTAGATGTCATTGCCGCCTATAGTGATGTTAGATGTCATTGCCGCCTATAGTGATGTTAGATGTCATTGCCGCCTATAGTGATGTTAGATGTCATTGCCGCCTATAGTGATGTTAGATGTCATTGCCGCCTATAGTGATGTTAGATGTCATTGCCGCCTATAGTGATGTTATAGTGATGTGGGGAATATACTAAAATGCGATCCAGCGCTCGGTGTACAGCGCAGATACGATGTGAGTCCTCCAAATTAAGGTTCCGTTTACTGTTTTGTTCTAAACTGGTTTTATACTTTACATACAGTGTGGTCCGGTGGGGAAGCCTAGTGGTTGAAGCGTTCGTTCGTTACGCCATAGACGCGGGTTTGTTTCCCCACATAGGTAAACGATATCTAGCCAATTTTCTGATGTCCCCCGCCTTGATATTGCTGGAATATTGCTAAAACGACGAAACTTTACAATGGCCTGTCATTTTGTTCTCTCCATTGTATGCATTGTATACTGTATTTGTATATTATTTACAAACGTATATTTGTATGTCGGCCGGAGGCCTTAAGACTTGACTTGATTCCCCACATAAGTAAACGATATGAAGCCAATTTTCTGGTGTCCCCCGCCTTGATATTGCTGGGATATTGCTAAACACTGTCAACAATATATTTATTTTACAAGGCGTTTGGACATAAATACTTAATATGTGAACTTTATAAACGTACCACTTAAGACTGTTAGTTCCTATAAATATTTGAGCCCAATCAGAACACGTTAGTATAGCATTTACTACAGCATTTATACTAATAATGCCTTTACGATGTCCCACAATCAATCAACTCAGCATCAACATCCAATTGTACATGAATCTACCCCACTGTCACACTCCTTTTGTGAACTTGTTTCTGTAAACCAGGAACTCGCCTTTTGCGAGAACGTGTATCGAAAAAATCTGATCACATTTTGTTCACTCAGTCAACATGCTGTACACAGTTGTAAATAATAGAGAAGCATATCCTTGATGACATACGTCTTTAATGAACAACTAGTCGTACTATTTACATGTATATACTTGAAAATATACAAAATATTTACACTGATTGGTCTATTCAATCTCTTCGTATACATGTTCATTGCTCTCTGACACACTGTTGTCTGCAGTATCTTGAGGCTGAAGGTAGCCCTCACGGTATCCTGTTTCATCACTGGCTCTGTCCAGACCTGGAGGGGGACAAGTTAAGTTACCGGATTGAACGATCATTACTCGTCGTCGTCTCCGGTGTCTCTCGCTGCGAAATGTATCTCTTGGTACGTTAGAGTTCTTTAACGTACGGGGATGGCATTTACATTTGGGATCTGGAAACAAACGAGAACTACATGCAGGGGCGGATACAGCTTTTGGGGAAAGGGGGTGTGCACACTATTGAGAAAAGGAGGGGTGCACACTTCATTTTCACCCGAGTTTCAAAGGTCAATAGGATCCGCCTATGACATGTTATTTAAATTTATGTTTCCATGAAAATCAATACCCAAGGATGTTTCATGTACGTGCATTTCCGTTGCAAAACAAGCCCAGGTTACGTAATAATTTTAAACGACCAGTCAGTATGAGAGGTCATTACGGCTTCAATCTAAAGTATACAAGTTCAGTATGTTAACAGAAGCATTGTCCTTTGATCAGAACTCTTTACATGATGAATCTAAGACGCCGTTTATCAACATGGCAAACACGTTGAGTGTATATGATTGGGCAGATCCATTTCAATGACAAATGAAAAGCACCTTATAGGCGTCAACCACGTGAACCTTGCGATTCTAAAGTAGTCTATTTTCGAGATTTTCATTTTTACAATTACCAAAGGTTACACGCAGGAACAAATATCAATCTCCATTGTGTTACTCTGCAATTGTAACCAAAGATGTATTACGGGCTCTTAATGAACTTTTGTAATTGTGAGAAAAACACTTTCCATAATTATAAGTAAGCTCTGATTCCGCACTGGGAAGCATGGACATATGTCTTGAATCACCATCAAATGGTGACGAATAAACCTAAATGTCTAATAGCCCAGAAACGTCGTGTTGTAAATAATAAAGAAGTTGTAAATCCATACCATACGTTGTTATGTTACCTTCCAACTTCTAAATGCCCATCAAGTATCTAACGGAACATGTTTCTATTTATCTTCCTTCAGATTTGTAGAAACAAGGAACTGAATAGACTTTTTCTTTTGGGATTTATAGTTTACTGGTGTTTAAATTGAGATGAATATAGACCCGCGATATGTATAGATTATATTATATATCCAAACAAAACACATCACAGACATGTCTTTTTCTGTAATTATACCACATTGCTTTGTTGGTTGTTGGTCTCACGCCCAGTTCTTTTAGGGAATGATTTCCGGTTATCTACAACATAAGCTGGGAATCTTGGGAATCAACACAATGTGTGCACATTTGGAATATTGATGCATCTCCAAAGACGTGTTGGAAGACGTATTCCAAACGTCTTCGGAGATGCATCAGTCTCCCAACACGTCTTCGGAGATGCATCAATATTCCAACACGTCTTTGGAGATGCATCAATATTCCGACACGTCTTTGGAGATGCATCAATATTCCAACACGTCTTTGGAGATGCATCAATATTCCAACATCTCCGAAGACGTGTTGGAATATTGATGCATCTCCGAAGACGTGTTGGGAGACTGATGCGTCTCCAAAGACGTGTTGGGAGACTGATGCATCTACGAAGACGTGTTGGAATACTGATGTACATTACAAACATCCTTCTTGCCATACCGATACTTTCTCCGATAAATACAGAAGTTATCAAACATAATTACCTGAGAACAAGAGACAGATCAGTGTTACTATCAGAACAACAGCAAACGCTGACACAAGAACATATGTTGTCAGCACCCTTCTTCCGTCTCTTTCTGTTGAAGTAAACATAAATAATAAAACCACTGCACGAAGATATCACGTAGTTGTATTTAACATACACTTGACACATGATGTGTCTTCAAATGTGTCAACGTGGAATTAACTGATTTAACATTACACAAAGATCTCCATGCTGGGCGTGTGTCCTTCCAAACAGTCAAGTTGGGAATAAGCAAGAATAATGTCTGTGATTTCTCAAGAAGAGAACACAGGGTTCATTATATGAGCTACCATGACCGAGCGCGTTATTTGTTTCGTTGATAATTGTTTATTAATATAATTCATCACACACTCGTGACATAAGTGAACGTTGTATAGTGTTAACCTGAAGAGCTGACTGTTGATACAATAGGTGTTTAGAGCTGATGCTGATCATAGTCACTTGTATTGGCAGAACTTGTAATGCAACTCAGAGAAGTTTTCTTAGTGACTGGTTCCTATACTGTTTCTGACATAGCATTAGAACTATAAGCAACAATACCCATAACCATTTGTATCATTAACTGCTGTCCTGATTTTTCATTGCGTCCAGTTTGAAGCAGCAGACAGACTCGCTTCTCCCTGGTGTAGAAACACCCAGTTTATGGTGATGTCATCTTCTTCACATATGCATCCAACTGGTCGTTTCTCATGCAAAGATGGAATTAAATTTGGTTCCCTTAGCTCTGGACTTGACCTTCATTTCAAAAGGATCCCCAACACGGGCCAGCTTGGCAAGCATCTCAAATCTCTCTGTGCCTTCAGCATAACCAAGTCCATCTGGTGACTTTGTCAGATGCAGTCTTTCCTCTCTGTTGGTCAAGAGTTTGACCGCCACCAGATGAGGTCCTGGCACTAGAAGAAATCATCTATGAGCGCCTTATTCTACAGCCTACCTGGCGGACTGGTGTCCCTTGAGGAGGTAGTCGTGTGTGTCGGCGGGGCAGTACTTGCTGTAGTCGCTGACGGGCCTGAAAATGTATTGCATAGTGTATAACGTGTTGCCTTCTCAACAGATATATTGATGCTGCAATTTTACATCGATTTTCTAAAATGATGGGGCTTCGATCTGTGCAGCCAAATATGAACGTTACTCCACGTAAAACCCTCCCAACCAGGGCCGAACGAAAACTCCCAGTACTGCAAGGAGTATGGTAATATTGACCAATATATAGAATGAAATGGACTCTGTGAGGTGGACTGTGGATGTATTTTTGGTGCAGGAAAATCTGTTGTAAACATAAATTTAAGTTTTATAATTCAATTTGTCAATGGACGTTATATGAAATATGTTTAAGAATTTCAAAAATGAAAAAGCTGAACAATATTATGTATTTGAAGTAATTGTGAGCAGCCTTCATCAGACACAAGGGTGATAATACCAGGGTACACCGTTCATCGGCCCCAGCGTACACTACCTGTCAGTACCTACCATTCTCTTCAGAAGTGGTTGACAGGTTTAATCGTATGGTCTTCACGAGTCCCCCAGACTCACATCTGACCTGGGATCCAGGGTCGTGCATGGTGACAGTGTATTGTGTCCAACTTATACACAGGTATATACATTCAAATACATTGTATGTGCAATTGTTTAATACTGTGTACTTGTGTCCGTCTGGCAGAGTCCACGACCAATACGCTGTCTGTGAATTCCAGAGCCTGTAGCAGGTGATGCTCACCACTTCCCCTTCGGTGTAGGCCGATGTGTCCGGTGTAAGGCTGACGGAAATATCACTGGGTTTACCTAAACATAACTGGAAAGTTTCACTTTCGCTGTCTCGTTTAAGAATGAAACACCAGGAAAATGACACACAGTTGTTTGTTTGATGCATCTATGACGGGTGAATCTATATTCTAATTATAATCATTGTCTGTGTGTAGCATATCACAGCAGATATTCGTGTGTGGTTTTAGAGGCAAACATTACGTACTGTCAACGGTGCATCCGTTCAAGTTTTGGAAGCACTGGAAATGTGTGCACATAGTTAAAAACTGTTTTAAGATTGAAAATCGACAAAGCATGGAATTTACCAAATGCATTGATTTAAAACGCATGTATAGTTAACAGAATTCGTCGTCACTCGCCTCTTTCCGTAATCCCAAAGAAGCTATCCGGCTTGTCCCGGAATAACACGAGTTGGTCACGAATGAGATAACAGACACTGACAGCAATTTACGCCTAAGCCGACATCGTGAAAAAACTCACAGTGTAAAGGCAAAGGGTATAACACGGAACGTAAGCAATGTTCCCAGCCACATAAGATGAAATAGCAATGGCGAAACTGACCTTGGATTTCCAGACGAGATGTAACCGGCTCCATACTCGTAGCTTTACCCAAACGTTTTACTGCCATGATGCAAGAGTAATCTCCCCTGTCAAGACACGTGACATTATCCAGCACTATTTGGAAGAAAGCAACTGACGAAGAGGTTGTTGTCACGGACCCGGTGACGTCATAGTGTCGATTCGTCATATTATGGAGTATTTTATCTTGGAATAAGACAGCTACGGTAGATCCTCCTTTCTTAAGCATGATAGAGTAGACCTTCTGCGTTCTCGAGCGTGTCAGATCGAGGCTACACCGTATGGTCACGTGATGGCGTGATGAATCAAGATGAATTGTTTTCGGATGGATGTGGAGTTGAATATAGCATCCTGGCATTGAAGGAATGAATTTGAATTATAACTATGTACGAGTAATATCATTAAGAATAATTACTATTTTCTTCTCATTGACAAACAGACCATGCATTCGAAGCTCGTCTCTATGAAATTACTAAACAGTAACTTCTGGTATTTCTATACCTATATATTCGTAATGGTTGGCAAATGTGCACATCAGGTACGGGAGCACCTGTGGCCCACCCCAGGAGTTGCCTCCCTTACACACGAAACCTTTGTTTGTGTGGTTGAATCCTGGTTTGCCCTAGTTATATTTCTAGGTTTCTCAGCACCAAAACCGTGCTCGTGTGTTTCATTAAAGCAGATCGATGTTAATACCCACTCCTGTATCATGTCAGCACGCCCAGGTCTGGCTGAAACACTCTTCAAACTGCCGTTAAACCAAACTCACATTAAAACATATTGCCAGTCGAAAACACTTACCTCCCCACTGAGCCATTAACGCACAAAACATCACCCGAGACGATAACAACATCATGCTGTATGAACTGGAAATGTATAGTGCTTGAATACATGGCACGATTGTATTGTGCTTGGTGTCAGACCGCGAGCTGAGGCTGCGGATGGGTATGATACCTGGAAAAGCGCGTTATGACACACTCCCGGAAAGTAGTCAGTTTCATAACTGAAATAAAAAAACTGTTGTGCTCTTGTGTGAGTCATATTGTTGAAACAAACGATATATTTAATATACAGTTGCATAACTCATGACTTGCACCCCCGTCCTCACTCTCTCTCTATGACTTCCTCTCTCTCTCTCTGACTTGACCCACTCTCTCTATGACTCCCACTCCCACCCCCACCCCCCTCTCTCTCTCACTCTCACGCTTATCGCTTTTCTATAAACATATTACGTCACTGCATTTCATTTGAATAACTAAACCGAAAGCGAAAATAGAACGAAAACGGCCGCGTATGCGTGTTATTGATTCAATACATTCAACAAGACAAGGAGGCAAGGAAGACCGCTGTAAGATGTATCTACTAATCACAGTATTCCTACATCTAACCTCTGTACAGATGACATGTAAGTTGTTGAAGTATATCTCATTGTATTCCTACATCTAACCTCTGTACACATGACATGTAAGTTGTTGAAGTATATCTCATTGTTTTCCTACATCTAACCTCTGTACAGATGACATGTAAGTTGTTGAAGTATATCTCATTGTATTCCTACATCTAACCTCTGTACACATGACATGTAAGATGTTGAAGTATGCCTCACTGTATTAGATATAATCTACCATTGTCTTGATGCCTTGTTACGTGGCCTTGTGCTTGAATATGGTTCCTATAATTAATGCTACTTTCGGTTTTGGTTTGTCAACAGCAAAGGCAGCGGGTGAAACAATTACGAAAGGATTACGTAATAATTACGAAATACATGTAGGGGTGGCATCTGATGTAGGAGACCTGTTTCAGATGTGAGTGACTGTATGTCAGTGTGGCCTATATGTGTAAGACAATGATTATGTAGGTCGAGCAGTTGGTCTGTGACGGGAGCATGCCGCTATACTGCTATACTCTATACTGCTATACTGCTATACTCTATACTGCTATACACTATACTGCTATACACTATACTGCTATACTCTATACTGCTAGATACTCTATACTGCTATACTCTATACTGCTATACTCTATACTGCTATACACTATACTGCTATACACTATACTGCTATACTCTATACTGCTATACACTATACTGCTATACACTATACTGCTATACACTATACTACTATACACTATACTGCTATACTCTATACTGCTATACTCTATACTGCTATACACTATACTGCTATACACTATACTGCTATACTCCATACTGCTAGATACTCTATACTGCTATACACTATACTGCTATACACTATACTGCTATACACTACACTGCTATACTCTATACTGCTATATACTCTATACTGCTATACTCTATACTGCTATACTCTATACTGCTATACACTATACTGCTATACACTATACTGCTATACACTATACTGCTATACACTATACTGCTATACTCTATACTGCTATACACTATACTGCTATACACTATACTGCTATACTCTATACTGCTATACACTATACTGCTATACACTATACTGCTATACACTATACTGCTATACACTATACTGCTATACTCCATACTGCTAGATACTCTATACTGCTATACACTATACTGCTATACACTATACTGCTATACACTATACTCTATACTGCTATACTCTATACTGCTATACTCTGCTATACACTATACTGCTATACACTATACTGCTAGATACTATACTGCTATACTCTATACTGCTATACTCTATACTGCTATACTCTATACTGCTATACACTATACTGCTATACTGCTAGATACTATACTGCTATACTCTATACTGCTATACTCTATACTGCTATACTCTACACTGCTATACTCTATACTGCTAGATACTATCATGGAACAGCAGCGAATGTATGAGCACCTGATACCCGTCGTCATAATTTCAACCCAGAGTTTATAAAGGTTGTTGTTGTATAGAAGACAAGGACAGAGGCTAAATTTGTATGGTATCTGTCGATTGTTGTGTTTCAATCTGTCAGTTGTATTGCAGGCTGTACCGTAGAGTTAACAATAAACCCGGAAGTGATTACACCTGCTGCTACTGCACCTGTCACTGTCCGGTGTAGCCTTAACGTGCCCTCATCAGACATCGACAGGGTGTATTCTATCATGATCAGAAGACGGGAGGCTACCATTGCTGTAGCATTCACAGACGGCAAGACTAAGATGTGCGATGAAAGACTGGAGGCCAATGCTGTGGTGAACTCCTCACTCGCATCACCGGATACGTACTTGCAGTTAACGCTGTTAAATGTGACTTGTGATGACATTGGTGATTATACATGCATTATGGCTGTCAGAAAACAGTACCAGACTATGAAGATCACGGGACCAGACAAGGCATATCTGAAGACGTCAGGTAAACCATGCTAGCTGGAGTTGAACAACCCATCATGCGATCAGATTTATATGACACGGTCGCAGCAACATGAAATGACCTGATATCTAGATTGAGATATAGTAAGTTAGCGAGTTTAGTTCTACACTGCACTCAGCAATATGGCGGCGGTCTGTAAATAATCGAGTCTGCACCAGATAACCCAGTGATCAACAGAATGAGAATCGATCTACGCAGTTGGGAATAATGTTGGGAATTGGTTTAAATCTCATAATTGATGATTGATTCAATACAACCGATCAATCATCGAAAAAAATTGGTTAGCGTCATTTATCATATCTTCCTGGCTGTGTGTGTTAATGCACAAAAAAATCTAGAAAAAAAACATGTAGTTCTTTGGGTTTTTTGGGTAAATTGCTGAAAATGCATTTGCAAATTTAACATCTTTAAAGGATGACTAATATGTAAGGAACATAAATTTCCTGGAGTCTTTATGATAAATTCCATCATGACTTGGAACGAGCTTGTAGTGCTTATGAAATGTAACAGACAAAACCAACCATGGGAAAAATATTGTTAATGCAAACAAGTGTTTCAGAATTGTTCTTGTTCGATTATGAGAAAACATGATCGATTGCTTGGTCGTTTAGTCACTGCGACCAATCTTCGATTATTTCAACTAATCGGAGCACCACTAGCTGACTAGTAGAACCGATGCCATGGGTCAACCATGTCAGCGCGCCTGACCACCCGATCCCGTTAGTCATATGGAGATATAACAGGAATGGAATTGTTTGGGACGAATGGATAATTTGCAGACCCTTATCGAAGCTATAAATATAGTCCATTTGATCCGAGTACATACTATACTTTGAAGACAACACTATTTATACGAAGACAATGTCGAACATATTCCTCTCTTAACCCCACACAAATTATGCGTTTTGGGTCTTCCTGTCATATGTAGTCACACAACCATAGAGCTGTACACAGTGGATTCATCATTCTGGGATGTAGTAGCCTCTAGGACCGGGTAACCATGCACGGCACTCATAGGTAATATGCACTATATAATAGGTAATATTTTTCTTTCATTTTCAATGACTTTCTCGTCATGTTGATTATTTTTGTGTTAAGAGAAAAACGCTATATATGGTGAAATATGATGAGGTACCTCAATATGAAAACTGTTTCAGGCAACTCCTGCCCATTCATCGACAGCCTCGTTTACCCGAGACACGCACACCGACTGGAGGACACGGTGAGAATAACGTGCTACATGCTGGTGAGGACTCGAGTATCGGGTTGGGTATGGACCTCCGCGGATGACCACACAGTTGCCAGCTCCGCAGAAAGATGCTCCTTAGCCACAGGAGGCGACATGTTCAATTGTTCAAGTGTTCTCCACCATCGGGTTTCTGTCAGACCATCTCTGCTATGTCGACTAAAGAATTTCTCGAGAATGGTTCGAATCGATGTCAAAGAAAATGCGACAGGTATCCGCACTCTTCTGTAAAGTTCGCCTCACTGTGTTGGGTTCAAAACTATAATAAAGCATCTAACTTTATTGATAACAACTTCTTGGTTATTGCATAGAGCGACATTTCGGTGTAGATTCTTACATCGTTTAGAAGCTAAAAGTAACATCAACCAAGTATAGAGAAGTATATATACAGTATATATATTGTTGTGACAAGCTGTAACCAAGACCTCAACTGGAATTATTACTCGATCATAGACGCTTCGCTTAAACTCCACGAAGTACTTTGGAGTGAGATATATGTTTGAATTTCCCGCCTCACAGTTTTCCACAAAATACCTCATAGCGGACACTGTTAAAGGGTTCTGTTCAATGTTTGAACTAAATGTTTAGTGAGAAACAATGACGAGTGTTCCACCTCTCTTTGGGCATCATATCCCGACCACCCCTTTTGTATGCAGACCAGCTTTTCAATTATATGAGAGCGTATAAGCTAGTGTAGGTGAAACCGAACTTCTTTAGAAACGGCATCCGTATTTGTGTGATAAAAACACAAAGCATATCTCACTTGAAATTACCCAAGAGTCATTCTCAACATCATTTGGAGAGAGCAGCATCCGATGTGGCACAATTCATCATTTAATTGTTGTCTTTATGATGTACAACTACAAACATTAGTGTATACACATGTGTATATTTATTTCTGCAGATCCAAGAGCCATGATATTTTGGGAAGATGAAGATGAAGACTTCTTTCAGATGGGTGAATTTCCTAAAGATCACACACAAGTACCTGGTATGATTTTTCAGATTATTTAAATCCCTTGACTAAAATATGCAATTTCGAAGTAAGTAAGCCTGATTGAATGTCCGTGTAGTGACAGGCTGTGTTGCCCTCACTGACATGGACATTTCCATTGTTAAACTATAACAACAGAGCTGATTTATAATATCTGAATTGTATGTGTGTTTCATTTAGGCGTCGGCATGTTCTTGGTCCAGGTCCTAGCCTGTCTCCTATGTGTGCTGACTGTGGGCGGAATCCTGCACAAATACTGGAAGACCATAGGTTTGTATATAGCGTTGTTTAAGACCACACCCCTGAGGCGTTCCTGCTACAGTGTTTCTTAATTCACATCTGGGACGGTGGGGTAGCATAGTGGTTAAAGCGTTCGCTCGTCACACCGAAGACCCGGGTTCGATGGGTACAATGTTTGAAGCCCATTTCTGGTGTCCCCCGCTGTGATATTGCTGGAATATTGCTAAAAGCGGCGTAAAACTAAACTCACTCAATTCACATCATTCAATATATTGCTTTTCTCAGTGTTAGCGGTAGTTATAACAGTAATAAAGTATTCGGAAATATTTAAAGAGTATGACAAAAATAGGAACAGTAATAAATAAAATGAATATTTTATTCATTCCATACAGGCAACCCGAACAAGCAAGATCACACAAGGAAGGTTTACAAGCTGCAGTCGAATTGTCCGGAAACGGAACATAAACTGATTACAGAAAATGTGATCGTAGGAGCTTCACAAACAAGTGAAGACATCACGTGACGTTCTCTTTACACTGACTGACTATTCTGTGAATGCTTTTCATGTGTACAGTGTAATGTTGATCCATAGTCATGTCTGGGGCTTACTGCTTGCTTAATTAAACTTGCTCACTTACATTTCTGTCTTTAGTATGGTATCATGCATCAAATAGCACCATATTACCAATTATAATACCAATTGTTACTATAGGCCAGAATTATTTAATGAAATAATTTTTATATTTGTTCCATTTTTTACATTGGTCAATGGACCCCAGTCATGTTTAAATACATGTTGCAGATTTCAATTAGAAAACATCATACAGAATACATCATACAGAATACATCATACAGGAGTTAAAGTATCTTTCACAAAGCAGAAGATGACAGATCGACCAGAATTTGAAAACAATATTGATTCTTGAAGTTATCATAGCAGAATATTTTGTCAGTTCATAATATTTTTTAAACTCCTGTTGTGAAAGCTGAAAGGTTGGCATCTGTTTAGATAGTTTACAGTTAAAGATGATATTTTTTAAAAGGATAAGAATCACGTTGATTGGATCATTTTTTTTCTGGCCGAATCCAAGCAAAATAGGAGTAACCTTGCTACAATCATAAAATAGGTGTGTTATAGTCTCCAGAGAACCAGAACAATAGCTGCACAAGTCATGATCAATGTACTGCATCTTAAAAAGTCTGTTATTTGTTGGTAAAGGATGGTGCGGGAGTTTGTAGAGAAACCATTGTAGATTGGTGTCTTTGGAACACCGGAACGGGATATGGTTATATTGTTGCCAATACTTTGTATCGATTTCATTCTGTAATATCCTATTCCATTTGCACAGTGATGATTTTTTTTATTGATTTTGTTTCAAGTAAAGCCAGTAAAAAATGACTGCCGTGTTTTTGTCTAGTCAAACATATATGTTTGCAGAGGGTTTTGTGTTTTACTGATGGTTTCTAAGCTAATATCACTTCTTTTGTGATACTGATAATTCTCTATTTTTGTATCCATAATTTAAATAACCAACAAGGTATTTTCCCAAATCATAACGAAACATTTTAAAGACCTCAGCAGTGAAACCATCTGCACCAGAACTCTTATTATTTTTTAGACATTTTTGGGAGGCAAGGATTTCCTCTTTGGTAAGTTCACCTTCCAGCTTCGATGCAACATCATTACTAAGTCACGGAACACAAATCCTTTCAGTGGATTATCTAACTTAATGTCACAAGCGCCATGTTTACTATACAGCTATTGATAAAGCAATTTTACTTTATTCTGAATATCATTCTGAGCCTCAAGGATACGGTCGAAATTGGTCGAAAGAGAAGATGATCAGTCTTGGTTCCATGGTTCTTTTACTCTTTATCGTGATGAGGAAAGATACACTTGCATTTATCTCTTGTCTCAAGACAGAAAGCAAAAATGAGAATAGCTGAGAAAACATGTGAAATGCTGGACTTTGGGCTGCAAGTGTGCTCCCCTCCTTGCGAATCAAGTCAAGTCAAGTAATTTATTCCGTATGTAGGCCACAGGCCCATATACAACATACATACATTTGTTTACAAATATAGGTACAATTTAAGGGGCATACATATTCATAATACACGTGTTATTTGTACAAATAGATTTTTGGCAGTATAAATATAATATTGTAATATATACATATATACACACCTTTCTAAACGTTTAAAATAAACAAATCTGTGGGTTAAGGAGAATGTATTGGAGTTTGATTGCTCTGATTTTATAAGCATGAAAGATACATTTCTTTAAAGTCCTGTTTCTTTAAAGTGTTTCATTATTTGTTAACATGGACTTAAATTTATAGTAGTTTGGTTGTTTCTGATATACATATGGCAAGTATTTTAATCTAAGGGAGTTATATTCAGCACGTATAAAAATAAAATGATACTCATCTTCTACACCTAGATTACACAATGGACAATTACGTTCAGCAACCTCAACATTTAACCATCTACCCTCATTATACCTGAGCCTTAAAATCAACATCTAAATTTGATTAAAATATTTCGAAACTTTTTGTCCAAGATACATGATAAATATTTGGTTGGACTTAACAGACTTTTAAACTCTCGGTAAATACGGTATCGTGAACTGTTATTCAATGTACAATTCCATGATTGAAAAAACATACTTATTGCAACAGTCTTGAATCTCTTTACAAATGAAGCTGCATCATCAATTGTCTGAGACATCCAGACGTAACCAAATCCATGGTCCAAATGTATTTCCCTAATATATGAAGCATATGTCTTATATCCACAGTTATCGTAATACATTTGCATTTTGTACACTTTCAAAGGGGTTCTATCTTGATGTATATGTATAACCTTTAAACAATATTTCAAAGTTTTACACAATGCGTTTATAAAGAGAGGATATCTTCCACACTCGCCATTTACAATAGCAGTCGTGTGTTTGAGGGCTCACATTCAAGAAACGTTTGCAAGCCGTTAGATGAACCTTTTCGATTTCCTAAGTTTTTTGCATTCCCCAGATTTCTGCCCCATACAGTTATATCGGCTTATCTGCGCATCAAATATCTTAAAATACACACTGGAGTCAACTATTCCAATTCCATTTAAATTACTTATTACTTCCATTAAATCCCTCTTGCCCCTCAGTGTTAAATCAATGATGCAATTTCTCATCTTAAATGTTGACGGAAATATAACTCCCTAATATTTATAAGTATTTAATGCCCTTATTGGCTGACCATTTAAAAACACTTTTCATTTTTGCTAAACTCAACAAAAACAACAATATTTGTCTGGTCTAAATTTACTTTCAGACTTGAATATTCAGTGTAATTATGTGTAATATTAAGTTAATTTTGTAAGCCTGGAATTTTGTCAGATATAAGAACAACATCATCTGCAAACATAAGTAACATGATTTCTAATAAGTCGGGAAATAACTGCACTCCATATTTACCATATCTAGAAATGTCGTCTGATAATTCACTAATGAAAAAGGAAAACAATAAAGGGCTAAGAACACAACCTTGCTTTAAACCAATTGGACAGTCAAATTACTCAGTATATCCGTTATCACTTCTAACACAAGCTGTTACTGAGCTGTAAATACTCATATAGCAGTTAGCATTTTTCCATGTAAACCAGATTTGAATAAGCACCTATATAACTTGGAACGGTCATTTGAATCGAAGGCTTTTCTAAAATAAAAAAAGCAACATATAACCTTTTCCTTTTCTTAATTAGACATTTTTCTATCATACCATGTAAAGTAAAAACATGATCAATCGTAGAATACACTTGTCTAAAGCCTGCTTGTGTTTCGGGAACTCCTGTATGTATATGAATCAGAATATCTGCTTGGGTTGGCAAAATCAAAACAAGGTAGTTTGTCCAAGAAGTTTAACCTTAGCCTCAGGTATATGGATGATCTGATATCCATGAATAACCATCAAATAATCAGTTGCCTTCTAATGATTTATCCACCTGAACTTAAAGGAGACTAGTGAGGTAAAAACCCAAACTCTCCACAAGACTGTGTGACAAAAGGGAGGTTTTCAACTTTCCAATAATGGTCGTCAACTTTCTCTTCATTACGGGCAATATCCTAACAGAACAACCCTTTTGGTGTTTACATGTCACATTTTTGGAGGTACAACATGCTGATTTTATTAAGATTTCAAAGACAGAAGACTCTTTCTCGAAAGGTTTCTATCAAGGTTGCAACATTCAAGGCATCAGGGATGCTGTCAAACAGCTTTGGTAATTATAAACTTTGATCCACGAGTGAAGAAAATATGTCCGTTGCAATTCCATATTTTGACACAGTGATAAATCGTACGAAAGAATCTAATGGATGTGAGAATGGGTTTGTCACATTTATTATTTTACAATGAGTGACTGTGAGTGAGGATGTCAATGTCCAAAATATCCATATCTATTACATCAACCCTAATATCAGTGTGAGACTCAATTCATAGTTATCTTTATATCGGTTCCTACCTGTACCAGGTGCTAAGAAAAAACCGGATGAGTTACATTTTCTATATAATTGCAGTTTGTAGTCAAAGTCGCAGCACTGTGATCCTGACAAGAAGAGACAACAGAATTATCAGAAATTGACACAATTCTACTTCAAACACATGATACTGTGGATCCTGAAGTTCGGGTGTGTTTTTGCTTGTGACTGTAATGCGCGCACACACACACGAACACACACCCGCACACACACACCCACGGAATTCTGCAACGGCATCTAGAATAAAATATAAAGGTTATTTATATAGCGCAAATATCCAGACAACTAGTACATGCTCAAGCCGCTGGTATATATTGATTGTTTTTCTCTCACCAACACCTGTATGCACCTGGTTTCTGAGAAGTAAGTTACTGAAGTTTTCCGGGAACTGGATCTCCTAACATAGTCATGTGTATCACTGTCTTCACAAAGCGAAAGTGCAACCGTTAAAGCGAAAGGAATGTCAGTGAATAGTGACATTGTATTATTGTGTTTGTGTAGCCATCGAAGTCTATTGACAAATGCAGGTAAAGCGTTAAATTACCGTTACGGTCGATGCATGGTGCATGGATAAAATTTTTGTTCACCGCCGCATTCATGCTGACGCGTGACAAGGAATATACTACTTACAGGTAACTTTCCGAGTAATTGTTATGAAGACATATTCAACCAGGGTGTTTCATGATATCATACATCAAAATGTCAATTTTTTAAAAACTTTACACATTTCTGCTGTTGCTATATTTCAACAGTGATTGTGATACCCTGCTTGTATGAAAATGCTTTTGTTCGGTGTATATTTTAGCTAAATATAGTTATGTGCTGGAACGAAATCTCGAATTGTAACGAGATTTCCGGGCGTGACGAGTCAGTTTCAGTGTTCCAGTCAATCAGATTCGGAAAAGCCGGCACAGGAAGAAACGTGAGATCTCGTTAGCATTTTATCACCTGGTTGGTAATTCCGGGTTGTTCTTTTATTCATGTCTTGCTGTTTCTCCAAATTCAACGTAACTTCCACACGTTCATTGAGTTTATTGTGTTTGTCAGACATTTCCGGGTAGCGAAACACATGCCCAACACGTGTTTTACTGTTAGTTCAAAATGACATATTTTCTTGTCAAATATAACGAGCAAGTGAATGAATATTTACTTTGATCATTTCAAGTTTCAGCCAGAGACAGCCATGGGGCTGAAATTACAGTAACAATCTGAACCGTTGGTGACTGATGTAGGGGAGACAAATCTAGATCTGTGAAGTGGGGATGATGTAAGAGAAACGTGTAAAGCTATTTGGTATCAGTTAAGATCTAAAACTCTTAGACCTGTTAAAGCAGCCGAAATAATCCGGCCTCATCTCAAACTGCATTACGACACGCAGTCTGTGAAGATGTCCACTTAGACTTGTTCTCCAGACCTGACTAAAAGGTAAAAGCTGGCCAAACTTGGCACCATGAATAATGGACCTTGTTGTGACAAAATATATTTTAGGGGAACAGCTAAGTCTATTCTGCCTTACAGGAGTTCTGATAATCAGGCTGTTAAAGCTGCGTTATGAAGGCTTATGATGTTGGTTCATGAGGCCTACCAGCTGAAAGGTTTTAGGTCTGCTAAGAAAAGTGATGGGTTCACTTTATTGAGTTTGCAGAGAAGATGGTATCAAACTTTGTTTGATGGGTGGTGTACGTATCTCTAGGTCACTGGTAGCTATGGTAGTTTGATGGGTGGTGTACGTAGCTCTAGGTCACTGGTAGCTATGGTAGTTTGCTGGGTGGTGTACGTATCTCTAGGTCACTGGTAGCTATGGTAGTTTGCTGGGTGGTGTACGTATCTCTAGGTCACTGGTAGCTATGGTAGTTTGCTGGGTGGTGTGTACGTATCTCTACGTATCTCAGGTCACTGGTAGCTATGGTAGTTTGATGGGTGGTGTACGTATCTCTCAGGTCACTGGTACTATGGTAGTAGTTTGATGGGTGGTGTACGTATCTCTAGGTCACTGGTAGCTATGGTAGTTTGCTGGGTGGTGTACGTATCTCTAGGTCACTGGGTATGGGTGGTGTACGTATCTCTGGTAGTTTAGCTATGGTAGTTTGATGGGTGGTGTACGTATCTCTAGGTCACTGGTAGCTATGGTAGTTTGCTGGGTGGTGTACGTATCTCTAGGTCACTGGTAGCTATGGTAGTTTGTTTGTACACGTATCTCTAGGGTGGTGTACGTATCTCTAGGTCACTGGTAGCTATGGTAGTTTGCTGGGTGGTGTACGTATCTCTAGGTCACTGGTAGCTATGGTAGTTTGCTGGGTGGTGTACGTATCTCTAGGTCACTGGTAGCTATGGTAGTTTGATGGGTGGTGTACGTATCTCTAGGTCACTGGTAGCTATGGTAGTTTGATGGGTGGTGTACGTATCTCTAGGTAGGTCTATGGTAGTTTGCTGGGTGGTGTACGTATCTATGGTATGGTGGTTTGCTGGGTGGTGTACGTATCTCTCAACGGTCACTGGTAGCTATGGTAGTTTGCTGGAATTGGTGTACGTATCTCTAGGTCACTGGTAGCTATGGTAGTTTGATGGTAGTTTGCTATGGTTGGGTGTACGTATCTCTAGGTCACTGGTAGCTATGGTGTAGTTTGCTGGGTGGTGTTTGATGGGTGGTGTACGTATCTCTAGGTCACTGGTAGCTATGGTAGTTTGTTTGGGTGGTGTACGTATCTCTAGGTCACTGGTAGCTATGGTAGTTTGCTGGGTGGTGTACGTATCTCTAGATCACTAGGTCACTGGTAGCTATGGTAGTTTGCTGGGTGGTGTACGTATCTCTAGGTCACTGGTAGCTATGGTAGTTTGCTGGGTGGTGTACGTATCTCTAGGTCACTGGTAGCTATGGTAGTTTGCTGGGTGGTGTACGTATCTCTAGGTCACTCTATGGTAGTTTGCTGGGTGGTGTCGTATCTCTAGGTCACTGGTAGCTATGGTAGTTTGATGGGTGGTGTACGTATCTCTAGATCACTCACTGGTAGCTATGGTAGTTTTGCTGGTGGTGTACGTATCTCTAGGTCACTGGTAGCTATGGTAGTTTGCTGGGTGGTGTACGTATCTCTAGGTCACTGGTAGCTATGGTAGTTTGCTGGGTGGTGTACGTATCTCTAGGTCACTGGTAGCTATGGTAGTTTGCTGGGTGGTGTACGTATCTCTAGGTCACTGGTAGCTATGGTAGTTTGATGGGTGGTGTACGTATCTCTAGGTCACTGGTAGCTAGCCTGCGGCACTTGTAGTGGGGTGTTCTGACTGGTAGGGTGGTGTACGTATCTCTAGGTCACTGGTAGCTATGGTAGTTTGATGGGTGGTGTACGTATCTCTCGGTCACTATAGGTAGCTATGGTAGTTTGATGGGTGGTGTACGTATCTCTAGGATTATCTCTGGGTCACTGGTCTATGGTAGTTTGCTGGGTGGTGTACGTATCTCTAGGTCACTGGTAGCTATGGTAGTTTGCTGGGTGGTGTACGTATCTCTAGGTCACTGGTAGCTATGGTAGTTTGATGGGTGGTGTACGTATCTCTAGGTCACTGGTAGCTATGGTAGTTTGATGGGTGGTGTACGTATCTCTAGGTCACTGGTAGCTATGGTAGTTTGATGGGTGGTGTACGTATCTCTCGGTCACTGGTAGCTAGTTTGATGTGGTGTACATATCTCTAGGGCACTGGTAGCTATGGTAGTTTGCTGGGTGGTGTACGTATCTCTAGGTCACTGGTAGCTATGGTAGTTTGATGGGTGATGTGCGTATCTCTATGTCACTGGTAGCTATGGTAGTTTGATGGGTGGTGTACGTATCTCTAGGTCACTGGTAGCTATGGTAGTTTGCTGGGTGGTGTACGTATCTCTAGGTCACTGGTAACTATGGTAGTTTGATGGGTGGTGTACGTATCTCTAGGTCACTAGGTTACTGGTAACTATGGTTTGAGGTGGTAAATGTACCGAAGAGTTTTACGCAGTGTATATCAGGGACATTCGGACATTCGGATTTGATGAGCAGAAAGTTGATCTATGACACCAGGCTGCTGCTTTGGTTGACGATACTTTGCTAGCTCACAGGGTTAGTTTCAGACAATCATTTTTCGAGTATGAATTCCCTGAGGTATAGATCAGAAAAAAATAGTTTGTCCACTCCTAGTCCTCATTCTAACGTTTTAAAGTGTGGTTCTGGACATTTGACAAGAAAAAATTCTTCAGTTACCTCTGAATTTTCATGGGACCTAGATGCCATAAGCAATGGCACAGCATTTCTGAGTGTAAATAGCTTACTTTTAAATGTTGTCACTCTTCCCCTATTGTTTTTGTGGATGTCTATTCACAGCCCCTTTGTGATTCGTGTAATGAGGATTTAGCTTTTGTAGACCTGTTATCAAAGTCTATTGTGTGAGAGAGGATTACTTACCTTTATTTAGTAAAGGTTTGGTGGTGGCTAACGGTGACAGTTCCAGTGTTAAGCCCATTGCCGTTTTTAGGGAACTGGAGCTATTCAAACGGATTGTATTTTGCCACTTTTGGAGGAATTATCTGCTAATTTTTAGGTTTGTTAGAGGGTCTATGGGCTTTTACAAGTGCTCCTTGTTAATTTGTGAACTTGGTGTCTGGATTGGTTATGGTACATTGTAGGGGTTGTAGAATCTCTCCCTATTGAAGAAGTGGACCTGCTGAGAGGGAACGATGTTTGGCTGATCCGAATGTTTGTCATGAGAACAGAACTGTGAAAAATACTGAAACGACATATGAAACAATTTGAAGTATAATTTGGTTTTTCTTGGTTTCCTCTATGAGTGTCACGAGCCACAGATGTTTCTTCATTAAATCAAAATCAAAATCCAACGCCCACTTCGCACGAGCATGTCTGTGCAGGAATCACGTATATTGAAGGCAAAGACAGTGTTGTGGCATATGCAGTTTCGCGAGTTCTCTTGATGTGGTCAGTTTTGACAGCATGGTTTGCAGTTTTCATATACATCTTCTCATAATTATCACGTGTAATGTTATTATTATTTACTTCAATTAGAAGATTCTGTACTTGAATCAACAAAGAAAGCTCTCACTGTGTTCCAACTCTCTGTGTCATGTGACGGTGTAAATTCAGTTAAAATTAGTGGTATAATGGCACCTCATGCTTTCTGTTGAGAAACTCGGACACCCCACCCCACTACTGAATCTAACACTGACTAAAAACAATATACCTATGTGCAGATGTCGAATTTCTTTTCCTTTTAACATTAAGTCATAAGCATACTTCGGATAAATAACTGACTGACATTCAAGAAACGTTTGCAAGCTGTTAGATGAACCTTTTCTATTTCATAAATTTTACGCATTCCCCAGATTTCTGCCCCATACAGTAATATCTGCTTATCTGCGCATCAAATATCTTAAAATACCCACTGGAGTCCATTATTCGAATTCCAGTTCCATTTAAATTACTTACTATTTCCATTAAAGCCCGCTTGCCCCTCTGTGCTAAATCAATGAAGCAATTTCTCATCCTAAATGTTGACGGAAATATAACTCCCTAATATTTATAAGTATTTAATGCCGTTATTGGCTGACCATTTAGAAACCACTTTTCATTTTTGCTAGGCACAACAAAAAACAACAATATTTGTCTGGTCTAAATTTACTTTTAGACCTGAATATTCAGTGTAATTATGTAGAATATTAAGTTTATTCTGTAAGCCGAGAATTGTATCAGATATAAGAACAACATCATCTGCAAACATAAGTAACATGATTTCTAATAAGTCGGGAAATAACTGCACTCCATATTTACCATATCTAGATATGTCGTCTGATAATTCACTAAAGAAAAAGGAAAACAATAAAGGACTAAGAACACAACCTCGCTTTAAACCAACTGGACAGTAAAAATACTCAGTATATCCGTTATCACTTCTAACACGAGCTGTTACCGAGCTGTAAATACTCTTTATAGCAGTTAGCATTTTCCCATGTAAACCAGATTTGAATAAGCACCTATATAACTTAGAACGGTCAATTGAATCGAAGGCTTTTCTAAAATGAATAAAAACAACATATAACTTTTTCCTTTTCTTAATTAGACATTTTTCTATCATACCATGTAAAGTAAAAATATGATCAATCGTAGAATACACTTGTCTAAAGCCTGCTTGTGTTTCGGGAACTTCTGTATGTATATGAATCAGAATATCTGCTTGGGTTGGCAAAATCAAAACAAGGTAGTTTGTCCAAGAAGTTTTCCTTAGCCTCAGGTATATGGGGATGATCTGATATCCATGAATAACCATCAAATAACCAGTTGCCTTCTAATGATTTATCCACCTGAACTTAAAGGAGACTAGTGAGGCAGAAAAAAACCCAAACTCTCCACAAGACTGTGTGACAAAAGGGAGATTTACAACTTTCCAATAGTCGTCAACTTTCTTTTCATTACAGTCAATATTCTAACAGAACAACCCTTTTGGTGTTTACATTTCACATTTTTGGAGGTACAACATGCTGATTTTATTAAGATTTCAAAGACTGAAGACTCTTTCTCAAAAGGTGTTTGATCAAGGTTGCAACATTCAAGGCATCAGGGATGCTGTCAAACAGCTTTGGTAATTATAAAATTTGATCCACGAGTGAAGAAAATATGTCCGTTGCAATTCCACATTTTGACAGTGATAAATCGTACGAAAGACTCTAATGGATGTGAGAATGGGTTTGTCACATTTATTATTTACAATGAGTGACTGAGTGAGGATGTCAATGTCCAAAATATCCATATCTATTACATCAACCCTAATATCAGTGTGAAACTCAATTAGTCGTAGTTATCTTTATATCGGTTCCTACCTGTACCAGGTGCTCAGAAAAAAACGGATGAGTTACACAAAGTCGTTTGTGTGTATTTGCTATATTATTGCAATTTGTAGTCAAAGTCGCAGCACTGTGATCCTGACAAGAGACAACAGAATTATCAGAAATTGACACATGATACTGGTGATACTGAAGCGTGTGTTTTTGCTTGTGACTGTAATGCGAATACATAGCAACACGCACACACGCACACCACCCCGGAATTCTGCAACTGCATCTAGAATTAAGTACATGTATATAGGCTTTTTATATAGCGCACATATCCAGACAACTAGTACATGCTCAAGGCGCTGGTATATATTGATTGTCTACTCTCACCAACACCTGTATGCACCTGGTTTCTGAGAAGTAAGTCCCTGAAGTTTTCCGGGAACTGGATACCCTAACACAGTCATGTTTATCACTGTATTCACAAAGCGAAAGTGCAACCGTTAAACCGAATGGAATGTCAGGGCATAGTGACATTGTATTATTGTGTTTGTGTAGCCATCGAAATCTATTGACAAAAGCAGGTAAAGCGTCAAATTACCTTTACGGTCGATGCATGGTGCATGGATAAATTTTTGTTCACCGCCGCATTCATTCTGAGGCGTGAGAAGGAATGTACTACTTACAGGTAACTTTCCGAGTAATTGTTATGAAGACATATTCAACCAGGGTGTTTCATGATATCATACATCAAAATGTCAAGTTTAAAAAACTTTACACATTTCTGCTGTTGCTATATTTCAACAGCGATTGTGATACCCTGCTTGTAAGAAAATGCTCTTGTTCGGTGTATATTTTAGCTAAATATAGTTATGTGCTGGAACGAAATCTCGAAGTGAACGAGATTTCCGGACGTGACTAATCAGTTTCCAGTCAATCAGATTCGGAAGAGCCGACACAGAAAGAAAGGTGAGATCTCGTTAGCATTTTATCACCTGGTTGTTTATTCCGGGTTGTTCTTTCACTCATGTCTCCAAATTCAACGTAACTTCCACACGTTCATTGAGTTTATTGTGTTTGTCAGACATTTCCGGGTAGCGAAACACATGCCCAACACGTGTTTTACTGTTAGTTCAAAATGACATATTTTCTTGTCAATATATAAGGAGTAAGTGAATGAATATTTACTTTGATCATTTCAAGGTTCAGCCAGATGAAAATACAGTAACAATCTGAACCGTTGGTGACTGATGTAGGGGGAGACAAATCTAGATCTGTGAAGTGGGGATGATGTAAGAGAAACGTGTAACGCTATTTGGTATCAGTTAAGAAACTCGGACACCCCACCCCACTACTGAATCTAACACTGACTAAAACAATATACCTATGTGCAGATGTCGAATTTCTTTTCCTTTTAACATTAAGTCATAGGCATACTTCGAATAAAATACGAATTGGGCCAAGGTCTCCAAATGAACCCTCAGGTTGTTCAATGATCCAAGATTCAAGGAGATTTTTTCATCTACATTATCTACTACCTACTATGGAAGTCTGAAGTGAATAATATATACAACTGATGCATTTTATTGTCTTCATAATTTCAGATATCACTGTACCCCATCCTGTTTAACATGAACCTAACGAATCTTGGAGAATTGTCCTTGTTATGTGAGTTTTTCCAATTTTCCTATATACCCTGTAACATAACTGGTATATCAGACTACTCTTGTTATCAAATAACAAAATGTTGAATCTCTACATTGTCTTACATTGCCTTTACATTGTCTCTACATCGTCTTTAAATTGTATCTACACTGTCTTTACATTGTCTCTACATCGTCTTAACATTGTCTTACATTGCCTTTACATTGTCTTTAAATTGTATCTACACTGTCTTTACATTGTATCTTCATTGTCTTTAAATTGTATCTACATTGTCTTTACATTGTCTCTACATCGTCTTTACGTTGTCTCTACATCGTCTTTCCACTGTCTCTACATTTTCTTTACATTGTCGTTACATTGTCTTTACATTGTCCTTACATGGTCTTTACGTTTTCTTGACATTATCTCTACATTTTCTTGACATTATCTCTACATTGTCTTTACATTATCTCTACATTGTCTTTACATTGTCTCTACATTGTCTTTACATTGTCTCTACATTGTCTCTACATTGTCTTTACATTGTCTCTACATTGTCTTTACATTATCTCTACATTGTCTTTACATTGTCTTTACAGTATGGGTTATATTGCTGTATAACACAACCACAGCTGAACGTAACCTCATCCCCGTGAGCATCTCGTGTCATTCGACAGGCTGTCTTGATGTTGATGATGAGCTCTTCTCACAAAGTCTTCATATAGGCAATATGACCATCACTGTTGACAAAGATGAACCTGGGGTAACAAACTCTAGCGACCTCTGGAATATTTCGGTCATTGGCAACTTCAGCCGAAAACCATTTCTGGAAGGAAAAGGACACGTTGACTGTAGCTTGGTATTAACGGATATCAAGTGTGACATTAGTGGTTATTTTCATGGGAAATACGAGAGCCAGTCCTACACACCACACATTGAATATGGCGGTAAGGATTTACAGATACTGTACTCTGTATATAAAGCGTTTCCTTTACAAAATGTACACTTTAACAGACAATTATCAACCAAACCCTATCACATCTGTTCAAGCGATAATGTCCTTTGTGTCGTCACGACCCTTTAGTCAGTTCATCTGTTTTGATCGGAGTTATACGATTTGGAGTTGTTGGAGGCGAAAATGGAGAACATGATTATACGTCTCTTTTAAAAGTTTTTCATTTATATTACTTTCAAAGGTATAAATTGATGTAGTTGGTAGATGGTAACACATTTTGTGTTGATATTTGTTTGTTTGGTTTGTAATAATTGGGTGTATGCTTCTATTGTTTCAAATTTGCAAGTTTATTTTCACACTTATAAGTGTTGGTTCATTTGTGACATTCTCAGGTTACAAGTAAGGTGAAGCAGTAAAATACATATTCTAACAGTTGGTATGCAGACTAAACCTCTGCACTGGACATTCTGTGAATCTATTTTAAGATTTAATAAAAAAAGAACCTTCACTATGCCAAACGTTTCAGTTAGAAACTGTCCACCTGAAAGTAAGAAAAATATAATAACAAATATGAATATATATATTTCGTTTAAGTACAAATGTTACCTTTGCTTGTTTTGTCCTTTCAAAGTGGTCAACAAAACAATTCGAAAAACACCCCAGATGCTGATATGTGAGGTTGTGTCCGGTCCCACGGCCAGGCAGATGAGATGGCAAAATATGACGGGCGGGGATTTTGAGGATATACTCACACAAACAAAAAGACAAACTGAGCCATGTCTTGTACGTACAACCAGCAAGTTGAAGTACAGGAGTAATACACAATATCGGTGTATGTTCGAGGAAATAGAAGTGGGTTCTATCACGGTTGAAGACATCAATTCAGGTAGGCTACATTGTTTCGTTCTCTTGTTTGTTTGTATATTTGTGAAAATCTGAACCCAGCCGTGGCGAAGGCAAACCGCGAAGTGAATAATACTATACGCAAAATCAAACACCGTCCAGGTGTGTGTGTGTTGTGTCTGATCCACATACAGACCACTATATTGTATATGTTACATTGCACAAGCATCGGGGAAATGATTCACATTACATTATTCATGACATTACTCATTACATGTCACATTATTCCTTGTAGGGTAGCCTAATGGTTAAAACGTTTGCTCGTCATGCTGGACCCGGGGTTCGATTCCCAACATGGGTACAATGTGTGAAGCACATTTCTGTCCGTCGCCGTGATATAGCTGGAATATTGCTAAAAGCAGCGTAAAACCATACTCACTCACTCACTCACATTGAATTACATTACATAACTCAATACATTGCATTACCTATTACATTACATTACTTTGCACTACTCATTTTGTATTAGATTGCTCATTGCATTGCATTACTCATTACATTGCATTGCATATCCTTACTCAATACATTAAATTACATTACGTATTACATAACAATACATTACATTGCATTACTCAATACATCACATTGCATTACTAATTACATTACTCATTGCATTGCTCATAAAACTACACTGCATTACCCGTTACAGTCACATTATATTGTAAATGACATTACATTACTCATTACATTACATTAGTCATTACATTACTCAATACATTACATTACTCGTTACAATACCCATTACATTACTCAATACATAACATTACTCATTACATTACCCAATATATTACATCGCATTACTCATTACAACACATTACTCATTACATCACATTACACATTATGTTACTCATTACATCATATTACTCATAACATTACCTAATACATTACATCGCACTACTCATAACAACACATTACTCATTACATTACTCATTACATCACATTACTCATTACATCACATTACTCATTACATTACTCATTACATCACATTACTCATTACGTAACTCATTACATCACATTTCTCATTACATCAAATTACTCATTACATTACATTACTCATTACATCACATTACCTATTACATCACAATACACATTACATTACATTATTCATTACATCACATTACTCATTACATCACATTACTCATTACGTTACTCATTACATCACATTTCTCATTACATCAAATTACTCATTACATTACATTACTCATTACAGCACATTACCTATTACATCACAATACACATTACATTACATTATTCATTACATCACATTACTCATAACATTACCTTACTCATTACATTACTCATTACATTACATCACGCATTACATCACAAACTCATTACATCACATTACTCATTACATTACATCACATTACTCATTACATTACATTACCCATTGCATTACTTTATTCATTACATCACATAACCTATTACATCACAATACACATTACTCATTACATCACATTACTCATTACATCACATTACCTATTACATCACAATACACATTACATTACTCATTACATCGCATTACTCATTACATTACTCATTACATTACATTACTCAGTACGTCAGATACTGATTACATCACATACTCATTACATCACATTACTCATAACATTACATTACTCATTACATTACATTACATTACTCATTACGTTATTCATTACATTTCATTACTCATAACATTACTCAATACATTACCCATTACATCAAATTACTCATTACATTACATCAAATTACTCAGTACATGACATTACTCAGTACATGACATTACTCATTACATCACATTACTCATTACATCACATACTCATTACATCACATTACTCATTACATCACAAACTCAATACATCACATTACTCATTACATTACACTACATCACATTACTCATTACATTACATTACCCATTACATTACATTACTCATTACATCACATTACCTATGATATCACAATACACATTACATTACTCATTACATCGCATTACTCATTAGATTACATTACTCAATACGTCAGATGCTGATTACATCACATTACTCATAAAATTACATTGCTCATAACATTACATTACTCATTATATCACATTACTCATTAGATTACATTTATCATTACTTCACATTACTCATTACATTACATTTCTCATTAAATTACGTCTCTCCAACGGGAGCTCTTCGTCGGCGACGGATTATCGGTCCTTCTCTGATTTGGTGGTGGGTGTAGGGGCCCTCAGGACCCCGGGACCTCCGGGTTCGTCCCGCACATCATTGACGTCCCTGACTTACCCGTGTCCACCTCCCCCTTGGGTTGAAGTCGACCCCAGTTCCAGGGTGCCAGCTTCGACATGAGGCACAGTTTGCTGATGGAGCAGGTTCTGTCCTCTCTATGCAGTTCACCTACTCAAGGGGGACAGTAGAACGTGTCTAGTGGGGAAGCGACCACCGGAAGCTTCCCCCAGGCCCCCTCAGTTCCAAGGGACCTACCCCTTCGTGTTGTTAGACGAGACACGGGTGCGGCGACCATGCGGCAGCCCCGACGGTCCCGGTAGGTTCGTCCCAAGGGGAAGGGCAGTGTCCCATGGATGTAAACTCAGACCCGGACGACTCCTCGTCCATGGACTCGAGCATCCTGTACGAGGAGTCGTCTCACCCTAGGGTGATACCCTCCTCTACTATCCAGGGCAGTCGGGAAGGACCCACCAGGTCTAACCTGACTGTCCCTAGAGGTCCATCCACCTCCTCGGAGGTGTGAGAGGGGAGCGCAGTGGAGGATTATTCCTTCACCGAGTCCATCCTCTCCCTGAAGGATTTCCTCCGCTCGGTGCGACCAGACTGCAAATCCTTCAGGAACTTCGACCCTCCACGGCCTGGAGGCCACACCTATCCTGACTCCCACGCAGGTAGGTAGGAGAAAGCGTGCGCCTACATCCTCACTCTCCCTACCCGTTTCTAGGGACCTGGATGAGCTGAATGACGGAGCTGAATGACCTGTGCCGCCACTCTTTTGGGGTGATCTCGCATTTCTTCTGACTGCATTGTCTCATCTGTCCCGCTTGCAAGGGCGCCTCATGACGCGTCCTTGGCTGCTTGCTACTACGACGAGTAGACAAGGGCGCAGTTTAGGTGTGCCTTCATTGAGAGTCGGCAACTCTTGGCGTGGGTCTCCCTGACCGAATGCAGCAGCTGGTGGACAGGCGGAAGGACGACGCGTTGTACACCTGTCTGCTGCCGTCTCTTTCCGTGGGGAGGATGACTGTGCCTCCTCCCCAAACTGGCGCCTACTCCGGTCTGACTGGTGCCACTGACCAAATCGGAAAAGGGGGACGAAGCAGTCCTCCAACAGAGCCACCCAAGGGCGACGAGTCAAGTTCGGGGGACCTAGGGGGCCGGCAGTGAAGGCCACAGACCATTTCACAGGTCGTGGGAGCCTCCGATACCTGTGTCCACACGGGACCCGGTACCCACTCAGGCCTCCGTATCAGGGGCAGAATTCCCTATAGCTGGCAGGTTGTCACACTTCCTACGAGCATGGGAAGAGGAAACGATCGACCCTTGGGTACATTCCGTACTAAAGGTCGGATATTGCATTCAGTTTCATGAGGATCGCGTGTAAGAGTTCCATGCTCTCCTGTTCGGACTAGCCTCAGCTCCCTACGTGTTCATCCAAGGTATGAAAGCAGTGGGAGCAAGGCTCCCCGCTTGGGTCTCAGGTTCCATGCTTACCTGGACGGTTCCCTGAGTCCTGCCAGGTCGAATCTCCTCTGTGTTTCACAGGGTCAGCAGATTCAGGAACTATTTGTGAAACTAGGGTTTGAATTATATTTTGAGAAATCGGAACTAGTCCCTTCTCAGAAATTTACTTTTCTTGGGGTGAAATTCGACCTAGCGGAAGCCACTGTGTCTCTCGGAGATCACCGTCTAAACGCCTTTGTCACGCTAGCACACAAGTTATGCAAGAAGACTTTCGCCACGCCGATAGAGATTCACTCTCTCCTAGGTCAGATGGAGTCATTTTCAAACATTGTGCCCTGGGCGAAACTGGCAAAATGAGAGCTACAGCTGATGCTAGCCTCCAAGTGGGACCATCTGAGCTGGGACACACCCGTTCCCCTCGGGACGTGGTTCAACTCGTCCATAAGTCAATGGTTAGCACGAGACTTCCTGTCTCAGACCATGCCGTTACACCCACCGACACCGTTGCAGTCCCTGTTCACAGATGCCTGAGAGACGGGCTGGGGGGCTCATCTGGCCACCCTACAGGCCGAAGGTCAGTGGGAACCGCACCTTCGCAATCTCAAGATCAATGTTCTGGAGATGGAAGCGGTCAATCGGGCAGTGGAGGTGTTCAAACCTCACTTGGCGAATAAAGTGACTCTCCTTCGTACTGACAACACAACGGTTGCCGCGTACATACACAAGGAAGGGGGGGGGGGGGGCACACTCTTCCGAACTCTGTCAGAGAACACTCATAGTTCTCAACAAAATGAGAGAGCTGAAGGGTCGTTTAATAGCTCAGCACATTCAGGGGAAGATAAATGTACTGGCCAACGCCCTGAGCAGAAGGGGCAGGGTGGTTCAGACAGAATGGACACTACACCATTCGGTAGTCAAAGGGATATTCCCTGCTTGGGAGACTCCCCATGTGGATCTGTTTGCCACATGGTTGAATCACAGGCTCCCCCTGTTTGTGTCCCCGGTGCCGGACCCCCTAGCGTGCGCACACGATGCTCTCATGTTAGATTGAACGGGCCTGGTCTCCTATGCCTTTCTTCGACCCCCGATACTGGATCGGGTGAAAGGAAAGCACGAATGGAGAGCTCAGATCTCACTCTCAGCTCCAAGATGGCCTGCTCAACCGTGGTTTCCCACGCTGCTTGAGCTCCTTGTGGCCCCACTGATTGTGCTTTCATGCCGGTTCGATCTGTTAGTGCAACGTCAGTCGAGGATATGCCAAGAGAACCCGGCAGTGTTAGACCTACACGCCTGGAAACTGTCAAAGACTCCCTCCAGACGCGAAGTTTTTCTAAAGCAGTTGCCGAACGCGTCGCTCAATCCAGGCGCTCATCAACTGAGAGACTATATCAGTCACACTGGCAGTGCTGGGTGGATTGGATGAAGTCACAACAGGTGGATTCCTTACGTCCAAACCTTAAAGCTCGCACTATTAAGTCTTACCGCTCTGCGATTTGTACCACATTACGCCTAAGTGGGGGGTCCCAACTTCTCGGGGGATCCAGTTCTGAGAGACCTAATGACGTCAATCTCTGCGTCCGTGGTGTCGAGACGGTTGACTTCCGAATGGGATGTATTCTTAGTCCTCGAAGCTTTGAAGAAAGCATTGTCGAGCCAATGGAGACGGCAGAGTTACGTCTTCTTTCTTACAAAACAGCTTCCTCGCGGCTTTGGCTACAGCATGTCGCCATAGTGAGTTACACGCTGTTGATTTCCAAAGTTTACGTTGTCAGGATGACTTGGTAAGCTTACAAACTCTTCCAGAGTTCAGGGCTAAGACTAAGAAACCACGTAAGTGTTTAGCTCTGATTACAATCTCTTCTCTCTCCCAATACCTTGGAGAAAGAGTATTCGAACCGCTTACTTTTTCCTGTACGTGCCCTTAAGTGGTATATCCACGGGGTTAAACCCCTACGGACTACACAGAGAAGGTTGTTTATTTCCTACACAACTGAAGGTAGAGAAATTGCGGCAGCCTCCTTCTCAAAGTGGATTATGAGTACAGTCAGGGTAGCCTATGATCAGGCCAGTAAATCCGATCTGCTGACCAATAGTAGGGAGAAATCACACGAATTAAGAACTGTCTCGGCCTCACTGGCATTCGCCTCCTCAGTCTCCTTAGATGCTATTATGAGGACGGCTTACTGCATGGTTAGTTGCATGGTTAGCGCTCGTATTTATAGATATCGTGACGTCATCTAGCGTGCGACGTCACCCGCCATGGACGAGTGGTGTGTTGCCCCGAGCGCAGCGCAGCGTACCACTAGACCCATTTGTCTGGGAAAATCTTTATGTTTGTTTCCCGGTTCGGGATAACAAATTTCGTGTATTTTGTAAGTTTGGCTAGTATGGGCAAATTGAAAAGACCTCATGATATTGCTCGTAAGTATTTAATAAAAACAGGAATTACTATGGAATTCCCCCTCTTGCAGGGGTCTGATCGCCAACGCGTCGCTTCTCGTGCCGTTACCACTGTTTCACCATCTAAGCCCTCTTCACACTTGCAAAGTTCTTCATTTGTGTGCGTGATGGGAATGTTTCAGGGCATACACAATTCTACCATAAATGTCATCTTCGTTAATCAACAGTAGGCCTAACTTGACACGTTCACATCCATGTGGTCATCCTTGATTGGACCTGTCTACGTAAGATTACATGAGGTGGAGAAGGTAGCATAAAATGGAATTCTTTCATCTTCATTGTAATTCCAGTGGTATTGCAGTAATTGAGATAAACATGAATACATGTAATATGCTACTCATCAAGTTTAATTGAAAAAATGACTGAATTCATTTTGTTTTGTGTATTATATTGACAGTTATTCATTTTTAACATGACGTAACCTATCTCCCCCATTAGATAATAGCGTAGCCCTTCTTGTGTCGTGTCTCGTACCTGGGGCGACAGCGAAGTAGACCACGTGAGACTAACCGCATTGCGACACACGATCGCACTACATTCAAAGAGGTCCTTGAAAAACACTTCTCACAACAAACTGGTTTACAATAACGATAATAGTTTGGTTTGTTCAGTTTCCGGGATTCACTGGAATTCAACATAGGCAAATTTTAGCGTTTAAAACCGACGACGTCAGTTTATTTTGCCTATGTTGAATTCCAATGAATCCCGGAAATTGAACAAACCAAACTATTTATCTTCTTAATATATTTATACGTATCAAAAAGTTGACTTAAGCTTTGTTGTTGGTTCACAATGGCTATGTGGACGACATACAAACAAGACTCGCTTTTCATCTTCAGGACATTTACAGTGCGAGCAGAAAGAGGCTTTATCGTCCACACACACAAGGTTGTCGTGCATTTTTACATTCACAGGAACGGAAATAGATCTGAGCATCCATTTCTTCTTGTCATCCATCACTATTCTGTACGCACCGTTCCTGTTACATCAACTACTGCCCACTGGTCTTCTGTCACGACTGACTTCAAATTGTCCAGGTTGGTGCTTAACAACTACTTTATTACAATGGCACGATTAATCTCGCTTTAAGAAGCTGTCCATGAACTAATTAATCAAAATCAAACAGCCCACCATGAGTTAATATTAAACGCCGAATTGCCAATATTTCAGACATAGGAGCACTTTACTTATACCGGTACCATTGTTTTAGCTACTCCCGGTTGTTGTATATAGGAGTCTAACCCTAACCCTAACCTTCCTTCCGATCAAGCGCGGAAAATACGTTTAGTGGTACCGGTCTAAGAACATCTACCTCAGACACATAACGATGATTTATATGTTCAGTAAAACGTTCACTATACAACAGCATGAACCAGAAACGCCATGAACAGTTCTGCAATGTTTTTCAGAAAACCTGCTACCGAAGGTGATGGCAGTTACAGCGTGGATTCCTCTGATTTTGTGTGCGATGTTCGGCGTTTGGTGGACCATATTGTGTCTGATTTGGGGAACTACAGGTACTTCTGACATTACATGTGTATAAATGTAACATGCATGCATGCATGTCCCTAGATAAGTGACATAATGTGAAACACAACCCAATTCAACCTAAAGCAAAATAAAATTACTTTACAAGAATGTGCGCACCAGGTTCAGGTTAAAATCATCGTAACTATACTGAGTCAAAAAAAAACCTTCACATTCTTTCTTCAGGGCATTATAAAAGAACAAGAGATGGTAAGATGGTTAAATTGTTATTATTTCATTGCTGAGATCTGTGTGATGCACTCGATACACTGACAGTGCCATAATCAGTTCCATTAAGCTACACCGCCGTTCCAAAACATGGGTATACAGAATGTCAAGTCACAAGAATAAAAATGCGAAATTTCTCAGTTCAATATCGTGTATGGCCGCCCCGCGCATTCACCACTGCCAAACACCGTCTCCTCATCGACTGCCTGATGCTTGTGAACACGTGTTTGGGGATTCTGGGGAGGCAGCACCAAGTTCCTGCAAATTCTGAGGTTGGTTCCTAAGACCACGAAGCCTTCTCCCAAGAGCATCCCAAACGTGCTCTATTGGATTAAGGTCAGGGGACCTCGATGGACAGTCCATGACGTTGATTCCAGCGTTTTGAAAGAAATTTCGTGTCAACATCGCGATATGAGGCCGAGCATGATCATGCTGGAACTGTAGACCTGGGCCATGAGCGCCATGAAAGGAACGAGTTCAGGGGTGAGCACCTGGTCGCGGTAAGCAGCAGCTGTGAAGTTTCCACGGATGACCAGAAGTCGGAAACGGTTGTTCCCACAGAAAGCACCCCACACCATGCAACTTCCGACCCCGAATCTGTCGACTTCCTGTACACAACATTGGGCATACCGTTCACGACGTCGTCTCCAGACTCTATGCCTGCCGTCCGCGAATCTGAGGGTAAACCTGGATTCATCGCTAAAGACGACTCGATTCCAGTCTCTCTGGGTCCATCGGAGGTGACGTTGGGCCCACAGCAGACGTTGACGTTGATGAAACGGCGTCAATATTGGCCCACGATATGGACGTCGAGAATGGAGATTGGCAGCCCGCAACCGATTTCGAATGGCCTGTGAGGACAGTCGACCTCTGAACATCTCAGCCCTGGTTCTTCTGCTCGTGACGTCACACGTGGACGATCCGACCTTGGGCGATCAGAAGTGGTGCCAGTTTGTTGTAGACGAGCTCGCAAGCCATACACAGTACGACGGCTGCATCCCATTGCTCTTGCGACGTCAATAACTGATCTTCCCGCTTGCAACATGCCAACGGCACGTTCACGTTGCACATTTGACAATCGTGGCATTTCAAGTACCGTTAGAACTGTGGTTTAAAAGTGTTTTTTCAATTCTTGAGGCCAATGCAAACACGTGCATATGAAGAAAACGTCGATCCGAAGATCACGTGATCGACTGCACGTGCAAAACCTGATTTGGCACTAACGTCATTTGCACGACGAATGGATGTGTTTGAGTGGGTTTTGCTAACGTTTTTCTAGAGTCGAAAGATAGGGATCCCATTTCGGATACATAGATGTATCATCAGAGAAAAATTATTCATTATTTTTCAAATTACATTTTGTGAAGTTTCTTTTTTGACAGTTTTAGTGTTATAGATGACTGTTGGGCACCCAAATGAAGGCACGTTCTGCCCTACCACCTGCACCCGCCACTCACACATTCTGCATAATAATAGTCAGTGTTCGACATCGGAATGTGAACACGAGAACAAAAGACAGCCAAAAGCGCTTGATTTTGGCCAAGTCTTGCCCTCAATTTTTAGCACTTTGAGCATGTTATTGAAATATTGTCGCTAAAAACATCGTTAAGTCATTGGCCCTCGCAGTATTCCTTAAACCGAGCACGGAACAGGGGCGAAGTTCAGAAAGTGGGAATGCACAGTTCATTTTCACCCATATTCTCCAGAATTTCAATGGTCGTTTAACAAACTTTCAGGACTAAAGAGGGGTGCGAACCATCAGGAGATTCCAGAACCACAATGATAATCAGTGAATTGCATCGAGAGGAATCACTTGCTTGAAAATAAGTCTTTCCTTATTCTTGTCGGATTGCAAAATGAATTGAGATAATTTTTCAAATACCATTAGCCACTCTTACTTTATATATTTGTAACATCAGCAACATCGAACACTTAGTTATCATGCCCAAGAGCTTCAGCTTCAAGACTGCAGGGGCGCAACTACATAGATGTATTCCACCACGAACCATTATCTACATACAGAAATCAAAATCAAACGTGGTAACCCGTGTTACAAACACATGTTTCAGACTACCTACGCTTCGTCATCCTCGAGGTCATCTTTTATGGTCTACACTCCGTTGCCCATATAATTTGCAGCCTACGAGACAATTGTACATGTATGTATACAATTTGACCTATTGATGTTTTCATATGACTGACCAGCATGCCATCTGTTTGTTGATCAGACAGCACTGCAAATATACTCTTTTTAAAAAGGAGGGGAACCGGAACTTTCAGTTTGGATAGGAAGTCTTATGAACGCACCACCATTTCTCTTTATCACCATCCCAAAACACAACTCATAGGGTGCACGTGCACAACCCAGTGGCCCAACACACGTGCATGGGGTGGCACTCTTTTGATTTTGACGGATTTCAAGAAGGTCGATAAATCACTGTAGACCATTAATTTTGACAATCATCATGTATCTGTTGATCACACAGTTGTTAGTGTTTGTTTCTAGCCGTTTTTTCGTTTGAAAATGAAACTCGTACACATCCAAATTTCACATCATACACCAGTCATCTTTCAAGAGCAATTACTGTACAAACAACTATGGTCATGAGGAAGCGCAAGTGGTGATGCACTCTCAAAACATTCATTATTATCAAATCAATATTGATAGACTCAGATATATCTCCCAATTCTTTCAATCGTTAATTAAAATGAAGTTCCTCTACTTTTTTTAAGAGTATAATCGAGTCTGAATCGATTGTATCATCCACATCACACGCCGTCAGGGTAGATGAAACAGCCGTGTGGCGGAGTCGGGCGGGGGGAGAGGAATATCTCCTTTATCCCGAAATTCCCCGGAGACCCAAGGGTACACCGCTATTACAACACTGCGTCGTTTGTTCACAGACTGGACACATCTAGACAAATGGAGGCGAGCTCTGTGTTTTGCGGCATTCATCAACCCGGTTATTTGCTGGGTGGCGATGAGAGGTCAAGTAGAAGTCACCACAGCCCTTGGTAAGTCAATGCACGTGTTGATTTCTCCTCCCGGCTCTCTCCTCAACATCATTCCATAAATTCATATTTATTTCATTAATGTGTAGAGAGAGTCGTGTGGATCTATTAATCTCCCAATTTGAAGCAAAATTTAATTGACCATGTCTGTGGATACCCTGCCCAATTTGTTTTGTGTAAAACAACCATCCGTTCAGCGCATTGGATGAATCTCATTTCTTATAACTGGATAACAATTTATTTCATCGTAAGATCGGAGCTCGTCTCTTGTAGTTTCGTGGTTTATTTTGAAATCATATAAGACATGTATGAGCTCTTAGCGAGGATGATTCCTAAGATTAATTTACCATGGTTACTTTGTCAATGTGACATCATTTAACTCGTACTTTCATAACAAATTAAATTAGAGTTTAACATTACTCTTTGCACTCCTAACGCTGGAGTGATTACTGGAGACAATAGAATGTTCGAATGTTTGTGTACGGTTAATACGTGTAATGCGTTCTTACTCCGCATTCAGATTCATTTTAACGCTTTTATTTCCAGGAGTTAATACTTTAGATTACTTCTGACACATATACACCATTATAGTTTCAGAGATTGCCTGGTGGTTCCTGACTGTCATCTGTACCATCGTGCAAGTGAAAACCCAGTTCTCGCAGATACATCGACCAAGTTCACCAGCAGAAACATCGACTCAGTTCACCAGCAGAAACATCGACCAAGTTCACCAGCAGATACATCGACCAAGTTCACCAGCAGAAACATCGACTCAGTTCACCAGCAGAAACATCGACCAAGTTCACCAGCAGATACATCGACCAAGTTCACCAGCAGAAACATCGACCTAGTTCACCAGCAGATACATCGACCAAGTTCACCAGCAGAAACATCGACTCAGTTCACCAGCAGCTACATCGACCTAGTTCACCAGCAGAAACATCGACTCCGTTCACCAGCAGATACATCGACCTAGTTCACCAGCAGAAACATCGACTCAGTTCACCAGCAGCTACATCGACCTAGTTCACCAGCAGAAACATCGACTCAGTTCACCAGCAGATACATCGACCAAGTTCACCAGCAGAAACAATGATCCAGCGCAAGTAAACCTAAAATGACATCCCTCAGGGGAACACTGTCCCCGAAACAGCGTAAAAGGCAGAATGGCGGTGACAATTGAATGAAGTAGTCACAGAACATGGGATGCGAGCCTGTTGTATGGTGTAAAAGACAAAAATGGCCTCACCATCTGATGTATTTAGTGATGACGTATATCAGAATTCGAAGCTTGGAAATTTCGCATTTATATTTATGATGACGTCATATCCTGTGTCATGCTCTTTGTCGTGTAATATGTCGGAAGAAGTGCCTATAAGTCGATAATGATCGAATTGTTATATTCCATGATTGCTACATTGAACTGAGTTGAGTTGAGTTGGGTCTTACGTCACATCGGCATTATTCCAGCCATATAGTGACGAGAACAAGTTTGCATTAATAAACATTGTAAGTACATACTCAGAATGAGTTTTATTTCAAAAACACATTCATTACATTGTCATTTAAAAGCAGAAAAAGTAATAGCACTAAATTTGAAGGCAGGCTGTTTGTTAGTCACATTTCATAGTTACAATTTATGATAGTTACATTTCATAGTAAATGTTTGATTTGACAGTAGTGGCCGGCCAACTGGAATATGTTTCCTCGTGTAACAGATCCTGGGATGTGTGGTAGCCATGTTGTATCATCTTAATCAGAATGCATCCATTCCTTTGCCGTTTCTGTGACTTTATGTGTCCATCTTCTTTTACTTGTTTACAAAATTGCAGATTAATAAAAAATGAAATGTAAGCAGAAAAATAAAATTGAATTATATAACAGAAATATGTTCACTTTTGAAAGAAAACCCACCCTAACTGATACTGTCCATAGTTATTTAATTTCATATTGTTTTGCTTAAAACCACTTCAAACTTCATCTTAAAACTCCAAAACAGCGGAAGGTCGCAGGTTTGATCCCCGACCGCATCATACCAAAAGATGTTACAATATGGTACTTGTTGGTCCCTGCCTGGCGCTCGGCATTAATGGGTACAACAAGGACTGGTCGGCTCGGAATCAGTATAATGTGTCTGAGTGGGGTATTCATGCTTCACTGCGGCATGGCATCAGTGGGCTAGCACTATAAAACGAGCTTAAGTCTGGGCTAGTACAAGCAGCCGCACATACACATACATGCACGTCGTCATATGAGCGAAATATTCTCAAGCACGACGTTAAACCCAATTTCACCTCACCTCGCCTTCCTTCTCGCATGCTTGATCCTCGAATGCTTCGCAGCTCGTTGCGCTGTTCTTTGCACAGTTCCCGTCCCTTGAATTCCGTATACTTGAATTCCGAGGTTTAGTCCTTCGAGTCTTTATCTGCGTCATTCCATTCCAGTGGACTTATGTGCTTTATTGACCTTGTCAGTACATTTTGGCCAACCCTGACTGTCAAGATCACAATTAGTATAATATGTTTTATTCTATGTCTGAGGTGTGAGAAATTGGGAGTGAAAAGAGGCTAGCTGGAGCGGTGATGTAAGCGTTGAGCGAGTGTTGGGGTGTGCAGTATGAGAGCCATTGTATGTATCTGGGGGGTTAGGTCTACTAATGCCTACAGTGAATAATGCCTACAGGGAATAATAGCTACAACGTTTGCAGTGACAGCGATACGCTTACCTGTACACCAGTAGATTGTTCCACTTAGTGTGCACTATTGCCTACAAAGGGATTAGGGGAGGCCAGCAAGGAGAGTAAAGAGTAAGATCAAGAGTATTAAATCGTTAGCTAGCTTATGTTTTGATAATTCCATACGCATTTAGTTCTCACACGAGGAGGAAATTGAAGAGTAAAGTAATTAATAGAGAGATTATTAAAGGGAGAAGGAAATGTATTGCTTTAAAATTGAAGAATAGAGTAATTAATTGAGAGATTATTAAAGGGAGAAGGAAATGTATTGCTTTAAAATGCTTGTGATACAAATCTTCATTGCAAATCATGGCAAATCCCAAGAAAGTCGAATACTTCACATCACAGAAAGGAGGACAGCAGGTACTCTTGGAGGGATACCGCTACAGACTCAACAACAGGCGACAGACGTGTGTACACTGGAAGTGTGTTCAAGGTGGCTGCTTTGGCAAGTGTACGACAGTCGGACAGTTTGTTCGGAATCAGACCACACACAACCACCCACAAGAAAACCAGGTAGCCCTGAAGATTGCCAGTTCCCTGAGGCAGCGGGTACAGACTGAGACGACGCCAGTTCAGGTGATCTACGATGAGGAGATTTCCCGACTTGACCGAGGTGAAGCAGCAACAGTCAAGTCGTTCCATTCTATGAAGAGTGGACTCTACAAGCAGAGACGGAAGATGATGCCGCCACTTCCCCATACGCTCAGCGAGGTGAATCTACCCGACTTCTTCAAGGAGACTACAGATGGACTGCCCTTCCTCTGCATTGATGACGGTGATGATGACAAGATTCTCTGCTTCACCACAAGTGACCGCCTGACCCTCCTGCAAGAAGTGGACACCCTCTACATGGACGGCACCTTCTACTCCTGTCCTCCTCTCTGGGATCAGCTGTTACTTTTGGTTACCACAATGACTTTATTAATGAATGTGGTAGTTGACTGTGTGAAAGATATATATATGTATATATAATCATGAATCAAATTAAGTTTTAATTACATTTTAATCCAAATAAATGATTATGTTTATGTAAATGTATTTATCTCAAAACAAACTACTATGTGAAAGATATGAATAAAGTTTAAGAAAATTAAGAAAAATATGACAACAATGTGAAAGATATGTATATGAATGTACATATGTATATGAATGACCAAATAAAATGTCTCTCAACATAGAAAGTTACTGTTTTCTATATACTGTAGGCATTAGTGAACTTTGAAATAGGACCATGCCACTTTATTGAAAGGTGGAAGGCAGGTGCAATCAGCAGCACTGGTGCGTAAAGTTGTTTATTTAACACTGTAGGCATTATTCACTGTAGGCATTAGTAGACTCCACCATCTGGGTAGATAGATAGATAGATAGATATTCTTTAGCCAGTTGGAAAGTATATGTGTGTGTCAGGTTGGCTGGTTTTCCTGAATATTCAACTGGTGTAAGTATGATAATGTTATGTTATGTTTCAGTCAGAATATGACTATGAATTGCATATATATATATAGTAAAAATATTGGTATTTCACCTTAAAGCATGTTACTATAACTTAGGTGAAATATAGATAATATTATTGCTGTGGTTAGTAATATGATGGAATTGTGATCAGTATGTGACATTTTGAGAATGTCTCTAAGTTAGTATACTGGCGTAATGACGATATTCATTCAGCAGGTCATGTGTAATGTATAGTGGTAGTGTTGTGTATTAAGTGACTGTAAAACAGCCCTGTAAACATATCCTGTGTATGTGATCTATATATATGTATATATATAGAAATATAGATAGTGTACATGTAAAGACACCAAGTACATGGTGTGCTTTTTGTATCCAGTGTCCGGGGTAGGTGTTACACCCCGTAAGGCTGTCCCGCCGATCGTTAGGGATCGACCCTGACATGCCACCCGTGGATGTGAAGTAACATCTGTGACGTGCCCCGTCAGTAAGGCTGTACCAACTGATCAACAGGAATCATGTGGACATGCCGCCAAAGTGTGTAGAGACTTACATGCAGGGGAAGGACCCTTAACCTACCACCACAGACCTGAACCGTCTGGAAACCCCACATGTGGTGACAATAACATCGTCAGTGATTTGTACAGCATGCAACCGATTTGTGTTTTTAATGAATTGTTTACTGATTCCATCTTCCATGTACATGACATAATCATATGAATTGTTGTTTGTTACTTTAAAAAGACAATTGTGGTGTTGTGATATTTTGAGTATTGATGTGAGTGTATGTGAGTATATGTGAATGGTGAGGTATGATGTGCTTGTTTGGGTGTGTAGGGGAAAGAGTGTAAGGGTGTTTGGTAATGGGAGAATGAAGTTGTGATGCAAGCCTATATTAACTATTGCAAATAGGGTATATTTAGTTAATAAATTATATTAACTTTTAAATCTGGTTTTGTGTTTACTCTAGTATGTGACACTGACATCAACTACTCTGACATGTCCATCAGCTCCCGGGTAGGTCTTCACTATTGTCCCGAGCTTCCACTGTCCTCTCGGAGTGTTTTGTGAGATGACCAGCACATCTTTTTAGTGCAAAATTCGACTTTGTTTTTTTATTGAATCGAAGAGATACAGATAAGGGATGTATCTTCAGCAACTTACTCACAGAATGGGATGTATCTTCAGCAGCTTATATACAGAATGGGATGTATCTTCAGCACCTTACACACAGAATGGGATGTATCTTCAGCACCTTACACACAGAATGGGATGTATCTTCAGCAACTTACACACAGAATGGGATGTATCTTCAGCAACTTACACACAGAATGGCATGTATCTTCAGGACTTACTGATCTGTTCCCACTTCCCGCCACACTTGCAGCGCGATGTCTCCCACATATTTAGAGTAGAACTTCCACTGGACGATCTCGCCATCATGCTCGATACGGAAGTTGGCGCTGATGCCCGAATACACATACTTCGCTGATCCTACATACCGATAATTTATCAGTGGAAGCCAGTTGGTGCGGTACAGCTGGTATTGTCTGACCTGAAGACGTAAACAGACACGTTAATACCTTCGTGTAACACCTTCCACTGTCCCTGGTTCTAAACATTGATGAAGCATCGAGTTTCTGCTCATCATTGAAGATGATGATTTGAAACCTTGTCTTTCTGAAGTGATGTCACGAAACAGTTATATATACTTGTTCAGAAAACAATTATAAAAAGGTCGAATGGTTTCTCCATTAGTCGACGATGGAACGAGGTATTGCCAGTTGTGACGCATGAATACCAACATCATCGTATCCTTTCACAATTAAATAAACAAGTGTTCTAAATTGCTTACTTAGCAGTTATCCTCTGTTTTCATTGTTACATACTACCGCAAGCGAGTCGGTAATGGCGGGTCAAGATTTGACCATTGTTTTTGTTTATTTTATGCACTTAATGTCTAACTTTGATTCTAGCGGACCTCTGCCTATCTCCAACACACAAAGTTGTGTTGTCATAAGCTGTGTGGGTTATGGTCTGTAGGGGTTTAGGGAGGTTACCATATTCGTCGATCCCGTAATACGCATACCAACAGTTGAGTAAAGTATGGAAGATCGTACCCACCGAACCTTTTGTGTGTTGATGGTTGGATCGTTACATCTCCTCATAACATCGAATGACAGACATCAGCCAAATGCAATAAAATAGTAACTGTAACGTATGTACAATGGCTGACACAGTTTTTTCACTCTTCATGTGTTTCACGGCAGTGCGGGCAGAGGAATTCACCATGAAGCCTGACAAATGTTACTGGAGTACAGAATTTGAA